CAATTTAAACAGCAGGCATTACAGAAGGATCAAGGTCACTGAAGTTAAACGCTTATGCTAGAATAGTGGCAATGAGTAAGTGATATCGTAAAAAGGAGAGTTTAACAATCTATTTAGTGAATTAATTTAAACATTTAGGCCAATTAAAACATAATTGAAATGTTTCAAAAACATTTTATTTGTTATTGTTAACTGAGCAGTCTTGAACATTGTGCCCATCATGAGTCAGTGATACAGGGGAGTTGATAACAAAAGGTGATGTTCATAGCTACAGTATACACAGTATGAATGTCACCATGTCCTCTGTGTAACCTCTTCAGAGATTGGGTATGGAACTGTGCCTCCTTTTAAATTCCATACACTTCTTTAACTGAGTTCCATTTAAGGTCAAGGTCAGCTTCAGAGTTAAGTGGCTGAGAGAAGGTTTATTGGCACTGAAGTGTGGAAAAAAAAGATGCAGAGTTATAATAATTGTAGGTATGAAAAACAGACCACGTTGGGTTGAGGGGAGAGTTTTGTGTTCTGAGAATACAGTAGGTGCTGGACCCCTTTTTGAATCAATCACACTGGCAGCTGCTCAGTGGGGTGATTGAAGCATTTAAATGAGTCAAGGTTAATTAAACTCCCACAATTCTACAGTGAGCACTTAAATCTATAATTAATGGATGCATCTGGTTAGCTGTCACCACGCATGTATGCAGACCTTGATCCTGAATGTTGCAAAAATGATACAGAACATCACTCTGCACCAGGACCCAGACTTTATAGCTGAAAACCGTACTTCTACACTTGATTTATCTGCCCTTAAGTCAGTACCTTTGATTGGTAGTAGTTCACTCTAGATTTGTGGTCACCCTGAAATGCCCTCCTTGAATATCTTGTTGCCTTGCAAAGGTATTCATTCCCTTGTAATAATGTTTCATTTTGTTCAAATATAAAAAAAAATATCCAGGGGTAGAAAATTATAATCAAGACCTGACTGGTGAAACTTCCAAAGGACCCCATAAGAACATTTGTTGGTGAAACAAGTTACATGTTAGCAAAACCCTGAGTCAGGAAGTGAATTTCAAGCAAGGATTCAACAGCGGAGACCAAGGAGCTTTCAAAACAGGCTGTAGAAAAGCACAATTCAAGAGAAGGGTATAAAATATTTCAAAAGTACTTACTGTTTGTTTGAACACAGTGAAGTCTTTCATTAAGATGGAAGGTGTATCATTCCACTCAGACAGTGTCCCTCCAAACTGAGCAGCTGTTCAAGGAGGAAACTGGTTAGGAATGCCACCGTGGAGCCAATTGTGACTTTGAAAAATAGCAGAGTTCAGTGGCTGAGATCGGAGGAAATCCTTTATGGAGTTTGCAATAAAGCATTCAAGTGACACTTTGAAGCTTTGGTGGCCAGACTAGACAAATTAGAACTCAGGTCTTAATTAACAAACCTAATACAATGAAGACTGAGATACCCTAGTGTTCTCCTTTTTCCCTGACAGCTTGGCACAGGATTTCACTCCATATCAGAGGCTGCCTTATTCAATTGATGGGCTGATTCACCAGGGTTAAGATGTCTGGGCTGGATACTGACCACTCACCTCTTGCTGCTCAGACTCTGATACAGCTCACACCATTCCTGGACTTCTCACAGCACTGTAACCTCCTGTTCCAGGTCTATTCAGGGCTTTCTCCATGCAGCTCTGCCTCTCCGTTCCCATTCCCATTGTACTCCACTCCCAGATCTCACTGCCCAGCGCAGTATCTGACTTGGACTTGGACACAGACGCCTGATCTCCACCCTGAACTCCTTGGACTCTGCTGGCCTACCATCCCTGTGGTTCTGTCCTACATCCAGGAGGCAGCTTCCGCCCTTCTCCACTTTAGAGCTCTCCCTGTGCAGCCCTGCATCTCTGTTCCACTTCCTGACTGCTTGAATTCTCCTGGCCTCAGCCCTGGGAACCCTGGACTTTTCCCTGCTGGCCCCTTCTCTGGAGGTTCCATCCTGCATCCAGGAGGTAGCTACTGTTGTCCAGGTCTACAGGACTCTGTCCATGCAGTTCCCTCACCATTGCCCACAGCCCAGTTTTGGTTCCTGTTAGTCCTGTCCCTTGCACCTTTTCTTTTTCCAGCTGTCCTTCTGGTTCCTCTTTGGGCAGCTTCCTATTTTGGTTCAGGGCTCTCTTATTTCCCTCCTGTCTCTCAGGTTGTTTGGATTTTTATCTGTTTCTTCTTTTTTCCTTAGTCTCCTTTCAGCATCCCAGATGAGCCCTCCAGGCATCCTGTGACAACTCTTCCCGGAGAGCATTCCCCTTTTAGTCTGGTCTCCCTTAGGATTCTTGTTCCTGGGCTCTGACTGGGACTGCACCCAGCAGCTGTGCTGGCACAGGGCTCTGAGAGCTGAGAGAGGTCTTAGGACGGGACCTTGCCACCCGTCCTCCACAGATGTCTCCCCAAGTGGTTCCAGAGAACGTTTGGGTATCTGATTCCGTTTGCACCCAGGTGCCTGAGTCAGAGAGTGAACCAGAGAGACCATGATGACAGAGCACATCTGGCCTGGACTTGGAGAAGACCCTCCATAAGGGTGTGTGCCTTGATTCACTGGTTCCCAGGCCTGGACCACTGTGTGGGGGCTTCCTACCTCGCCAGCTCGGCAAGACCCTTCCTCTGAGGAAAGCCCCTGGGGCAAAGTACAGCTATGCCCTGAGGAGACTCTATTGTAACCTGCGCATTGGCCTGTGGGTTTGCCGGCCTGCACCCCTGGCTATTTGGAGGGCTGCCTCCCAGATCTATGTGACCCCCTGTCCTTCTAGTCGGTTCCATCCTGGAGCTGAGTGTCCCGGATTCTGTGGGCTGGGATTAGCAGTACAATTTGGGGCTGACACTTTGCTGTGTCAGCCTCTCTGTTTGGTCATCAGGGAAGCAGACACCCGGCATCTCCCAGGTCATTGCTCTTCACTTGGTTTCTTTTCCTGTTGACTGGCTGGGGCGTTCCCTGGCCCACTAGCCACTTCTGTTTTTTCCTTTTTGTTTCCATTACTGTCTGGCCTGGGCTGATTAAACTCTTCCAGCCAGTAATTAATTATTCTGTTTTCACCTTTCTGTTTTTATTTTCCCTTTGTCCTGGAACATCCTAGCCCTCAAACAGTCGGGTCTTCTTGAGTGTTTTGCCACTCTCCAGTCACCTGCGCTTGGGCTCTGACGCATTACCACCTGCATGGCAGTAACCGGCCACAGCATTACGCCGAATTCGTATTTTTGGAAGCCAAATTTACAATGATCCCAGATTGTCCCATGAAAAGTCTTCTGTAGTATTCCAATCCCTACTAAAATTGTAACAGGTTCTTTATCTAGAATAAAAATAGAAATGGATTATTTTAGTTTGGGGTTTTTACTGAGAGGTAAAGAAAGATATCTTCCCCAGATTCATGCAGAATTTGTCATTTTTCAATGCAGAACTTTGTCAGAAAGCAAACAGTTTTCCAGCCTAAAAATATATTGATAAAAAATAAATGTGGAGTGACATGAAGTAATGATCTCTCCAAAGAATCTACTAACTCAAAGAAAAAAGAATAAATACAGACTGAACTTCATTAAGAAGAGGGACTGTTAAGTTAATTGCTCAGTCCTACCTACTGTAGGTAGAATTAATTAGCCAATCAAGGGACATATATTTAAACACATAGAATAAGTACATGGCCCATCTGAATTAGAGAATGCACCAGAAAATGTCTTTTAAAAAATGTTTTGCCGTGGCCTTAAATGTAGTTTTACCCTAAAATTGTATTGCCTCAATACCACTGGATTATATGGTAGAACTGGTTTTCAAAAGTTATTTTCTGTCTGATTTTTTTAATCCTTCAAAAGAAAAAGAACAGTTAAGAATGAACACAGAATATCCAGGAACTAAAATAAAGCAGTAAAAAAATGCGCAGTGATGTAAAGTAGGCTTTAGTCACCTTTTTTTCTTCCACCAGAAATCCAAAAATAAAATTGCTGGGAACCACGTATGGATATTTGTTTAGTGTTTTATTATCAGCAAGGCTATACTGGGGATCTGCAATGCACCAAAATATTTCCTCTCTGTGTTTCAATTACAGTTGGTGTGGTGTTTGGAATATTATAGAATGGCTATAATGGCTGGAGTTAAGTAATTAAATATACATGCAAAGCACAAAACAGTGATTAAGATTGATAATAAGTAGATGCATGTGTCCCTTCTAATGGTGAAGCTGCAAGAGAATGCAGCTAAGAAATATGACAGAATTTTCAAATTAGTTCAGAGATAGAGGGTGGCATGTTTTCGAGGAGGCTGTAGAAATGTGTTTCTGAAAGGTGAATTTGGAAATGGACAAATTATGAAATTCCAAAGTTTTGTTTTGGAGAGCAACTGTGGGCAAGAGAAAAAACTTACTTTTTATGTTTGCAATTTTTCAAGGTCAGTTTTTTTTAGTGACCTTGTTAGGTTTTCTGCTCATCCTTCCTGTTTGCAATAGTAGTATGCATGTAATTTCCAAGGAACATTATTTCCAAGAAATTGACTCCTGTAATTGATACTAAATACACAGATTGTTACTCAAATGTCTTTAGGATTTTCTGCAGATGTTTTAATGAGAAATAACTATTATTTTAACATTCCTAACAAAATAGGTCTTTCAGAGAATTTTCCTTACTCTTAGTTTGTAATGTTTAATTTCTTTATTTTTTTCTTACTACAGACTACTGACTACTATTACAGACTACTATTTGTAAGGTTTCCTCAAAGGTTTCAGTTTTCTGTTTCTTTTGTTTCTTTGGAAATGATAGCTCCATACATTGGTTAATTATTTGCATGCTTATGCTCTAACTTTATGATACTAAAACCTTCACTTTAAAGCATTTTCTTACCTCAAAAGTCAGATTTGCTTTGAGATCTGTATATACATACTGCGTTTTTCTATATATTTTATATGCCTTCCTTTTCATTGAGCCCAGCGGCTAAAGATAACCCAACATCCCTACATTCCTTGTTATAGGACCCCTCAAAAGCTCTCAACTAATAGTGCCACCTACTGGTAGAGCTGGGAGTGTTAAAGCTAGGAGTTCACCCCGCTACCATCGCTTGGCACTACGTTCTACTGGTCCAAGCTTTAAAGGTGGGGACTTTACGAAGGTATGGTTTCTCTCAGCTCCTCATCTCCATCGCTTCTGATACAGTACATGGCACGTGGGGCTAATCAAGACTCATCATTTTAGAGTGCTGCATTTTTACAGCCATTTCCATGCAGGTTTGAGACCTTCTTTTCTTAATTTGTACGAATTAGAAACTGCCATTTTTCTTTTATACGTGCCCATTTTGGAACTGCCCATACTTACAGTAACTTGGTTCACCGCTACAATCCCTAGCGCAGAGGGAGTAAAAATAATATCCATGTGCTTCAAAACATCCATCAGACCATCAGCTTTCTCTCTCACTGCTGGCCAAGAGTGCAAACGGTGCAACTACTGCATCAGACACAGACAGCAAGCTCAAACATGTTCACTCAGTTTGGGGTTACTGTAGCATGGAAAGCCAGGGTACCCACGCATACTTTCTAGTTTCTCATCCCCAGCAGTTTCATCAGTTCTTCACAGGCTCAACTTGGAGTCCTGTTTATGGTTAGCTAAACAAAATATCTAGATTTTATCCAGAAATCTTGATTTGAGGGCCAAAGCTGTGCTCCAAATGGAGAAAGGCTAACTCTGTGACATTCTGAGATGAAAAACTAAAGAGAATTCCCTTTGAAGTTAATTCAATGAGGGTGGAACACTACAATACTTTAAATCACACTAAAGGCATCAAAGTGGTTTCCTAAGGGCAGTGGTCCACCTACAGTACAGTTTCCATTTAATCTGGCATCACTTTATATTAATGTAATTTTTATACAGCAGGATAGGTCTCTTTTGATTTGGGAAGAGACCTCAGGCTGAGTAAAGCACATAGCAGAGACTATGAGATGGCATACATTCTCCAGTGCTAATTTGTGGCTTCCCCACAAAGGTTGCTATTTTACTTTTAAAAGGTGTTTAAAAGTCATTTAAAGTGAAAATGAGCCAACAGGCTCCATGTCTGAAGACTGGCTGACAGCACCATGATTGGATTCCAGTAGTGTGAAAGGTGAAAACAATAATGCTTCACCAGCTCATGATAAGTTCATTGAATGTTTAAGTATGTACTCAGAACATACTGTAACATTTACGGCTGAAAGGCACTGTGTAAGAGCCGGCTTACCAGAGCAGGTGATGTCACCGCCCTTCCCTGTGATAGCAGGACTACAGCTACTGGGCTGTAGAGAGATCTCTCTTTGGCTCACTGGGCTGGGTCCCTGTTGAGTGACGCAGGAGTCCCGGGTTCGAGCCCCAGATGGTGGGTGGCCGACCTAATGCTGCAAGGGCGCCCGCCTGAGCCCCCGTTGCCTTACAATATTCTTATTTTATTATTCTATTGCTTAGATTCATATTAGGTTCACTAAGATCAAAATAGAAAATAACTACAGATAATTTGGGGTTTTGACTTACTTTCTCAAATGAATTTTCTCTCAACAATAATCATAAAAAAACCCTTGACATTACATTAATATCCCAATGTATGCTCAGTGTTAATGAGCAATTCATGTGCTATCACGCGCCATCAATTTGAAGATAAGTCTTCATAGTTATAATTGTGATAATTTCCCTCTAGTGTCTGTACACCGAGATGAGTAAAGCTGATATACCATGACACTAACCTTTGGTTCCTTTCCCAGATATAAATGCCCAGGCCAGGAAACTGCAGAGGAACAGGACAAAGGGATCAATGACGCTGAACCCTGGATCATCATTCTGCCGCAGCCTGAGTGAAACGAGCCTCAATCTTGTGGGTGAGCCCGGAGACGAGCCAAAGAGATATTACTCCACGTTGCCAGGGCCACTGAGAGGAAGGAGCACCAGGGAAGGCCCTCTGACAGGCAGGAGGAAGGAAGAGAGGGATGCTGGGGGCGTGCGACATTCTCTCTACCAGTCCCCGCATCTCCTGCTGCTCCAGGGATACAACCAGCGTCAGGTATATCTGTAAGGTGTTTCCCCCGGTCTGTCTGCAGCTTCCACTTTCAGCTGGTGGTGCAAAGAGTTGGTACAGCTGTCTAACTGAGGGCCCATTTAAGGGTACCTATAAAACCTTGGTTGCCCAGACCAGACTTGGCAGCCCTGTTTTTATACACATGAATATTGTCAATCAAAACTTGAATGTCCCAACTGGACTCACTTACGTGCATGGGGAAAAAATGTGAAATGCCTATTCTGTGTAGTTAAAAGTCAAAATTCTATTGAGTCAGGGCTTTGAATGGCCAACCAAGGATGTTCACTTTCTTTTTGTTAAACTGTTCTAGTGTAGCTTTGGTTTTGTGTCATGGCGTTGCTAAGGGAAGGTGAATTTAAATTTAAATTTGAGGTCTTTAGCAGAATACAGCAAGTTTTCTTCTAAGATTTCCTCTTAGATCTCCTCTTCAATCTTGACAAATTTTACAATCCCTGGTGATTACAATGCAGCTCCTAACTTAATGTTACAGCTATAATGTTTGACTGTAGAAATGGTGATGATTAGGTGATACATTCTGTTAGGTTAACACCACATGAAATGCCATGCATTTAGACCTAAAAGTTCTAGTTTTATCTTAACTGAACACAACTGTGTTTGTCTCATGTTTGCTGTATTATTTAAAAGCTTTGTTGCAGACATACAGGATCTGAGTTGGGTTTTCTACTCTGCTAGCTTTGTGGAGAGACAGGGATATTATTAACTCATGGATAACTAGTGGATTTTCTCCCATCTCAGACATTGACTGTTGCTCTTTCAAATTCACCATTGGCTTTACTGTGGCATACCTAACCAGTTGTTTCCTCCTTGCCCTACTGTTCAGTTGGGAGGGATAATCTGATCTGGGTAGTGTTATTAGTGCTATATTACACCACCCACTTCTTAATGATCAACTTCACTGTGCTCAAAGGGATATAGAGCATTTTAAGTATTTTTGTACCCTTTACGAGATCTGTGCCGGATAACTATATCCCTGAGTTGTTGTATAAGCTGCTTGGTCTACATTAACAAATTTTTGCTTGAAATTTGCTAAACTGACTCAAGGCCCTTACAGAAAACATATTAATTCTAAAATCATGTGAAACACATTTATTACAAAGACAAAGACCATTCAGCTAATTGTGGAGTAATGTAGATCTACCAAAGGAGATGAATACTTATTTAATCAATCTATTTTAGTATGTGATTTTCTTTGTAGTTTTTGCTGACTTTTAACTTCTTTCATTCATTAAAATGGTGAGTTTGAACTTTCATATTTTGATTAAAATGTCACTTTAATAAAATACAGTATACATCATTTGGCATTCAGCAAAATGTCCCATTCTTGGAAAGGAGTGAATACCTTTGGAAGGCACTGTATATTACATGTCACAAATATCTGCAATTAAACTAGTTTATTTAATAATTTATTCAATTTAATATATTGCAGAACTCTTAATTTGTAAGTAATAGCTCTTCCTGTTGTATTGTTTCATAATTTCTAAACAGCATTTAAAATATTCTTGTTAATTAAAGATACAGTTTTATATTTATGTTTTTTATTTGCATAAAAGCAACATTTCATGACATGAAATTCACATTTCAGAATGTCATTCAGTTAAATGATAAGTTATGAAATTTGCAGCACATTCATTTTAAACAGTAAATCCTTTAATTATGTGTTGTTTTGTAAGCAAAATATTTTTAAAATAAACTTACAGTTTTAGTTTTTTAAAAAACGAACTGCAACTGAATACACTTTTCAATTGGAAAAGGGAAATCTCATTTAACTGTAAAATTACAGAGAACTGCTTTAGTGCTATCCTGTGCAGTCTTCATATGAGAGGGCGGTACATAAGCAAGCTTAGACATAATGCAGAGAAACTTCAGAAGCAACTGCAGTGGTTATACTCAACTGACTGTGCACAAGTGAACACTGATTGCAATGCCAGCATTTTTGTTAAACAGGGTGTTTGCTTTGATCCATTGCAATAACAGAATACATGACAAATGTTTTCTTGCAGAATTTACAAGTGTAACAAAAATTAGAAAGGTAATAAGACTATCCCACCTACTCCTCTCTGCTGAGGTGAGAGGATCATTTTTTTTTGTCTAGGCATGTAACATAAGAATTTTTAATCATATAAATACGTCCACTTGGTGACAAACAGCAGGCACACATAGACTTTCCATCTGGTTGGTGTACAGAGATCCTCTTTGAAGTGCTGGAGTGTTAATGGAAGGTAAAGGATTAAAGTAATACAGTTGTATTAGCATTACTAGCAGAGGAATCCAGCAAGGTTTTCAAGTCTTAGTTTACTGTTGCTTGAAAGTAGATTACTTTCATTAGTGTAGTGAAGAAGTTTTAGTTTTATACAAACATTACAATCTTTAAAACAAATGTCAGAGTTACCTAATCATTTTCCCATTTATTAACCTCATGGCTATATATTATTTAAATGTTTTTTTTTTAAATGTTGTGGTAAATGTTAATGACTTTTTTCCATTTTCTAATTATGTGGCAATGCACGTTGTCCTTAGAACAACAGAACGAGTGACTGGAAGTACTTTTAGTGGGCAGGATTGGATGATATTCATTTTTTAAATCAAAATCTTTATTTTCCCTTTCAAATTCATTAGTTCTGGTAAGGCATTTATTTTTTGAGGAATTATTACTCGGAAGTCTGTGAATGCTGATTTTATCTTTTGTCTGTAAGAAAATTAAATACATTATGAAAAATACTTAAAATAATATAAATTTGTAATTTTCTATGTTCTAATATATGATACAAAAATACAATAATTTAGATGTATCTTCAATAATATTAAGACTAAATTACATTTATTTAGTGCATTTAATCCCAAAGAATCCCAAAGCACTATACACATATGTACATATACAGTACTTCATTCACCAGTGTCATGTGGAAGGCCAGTGGAATGTACCAGCAAATCACTACATAGTATATTAGATGAATAAATGAGAAATTATTTCACCAAATGAATTAAGAAGGAAATTGAACAGATTGTTAAAGCCTTGAGTGGAATTTAGGTTGATATCTATAATCTTTTATATTGTGCTATGGGTCCTTTAATGACCAATTAGTCAAAACTTCAATTTAATGTCTTATCCAAAAGACTCTCAATCATGCCGCATTAATATATGCACTATAAGTGAGCATTGTTTGGAAATTCCTGGACCACAAGGGGAAGGGCCACCTAATAGTCCACCTACACTACTTGCAGGAACATCTGATTTTCCTTAGAGTTTGTCATCCCAGTGCCATCCCAGTCTTGCTTTATTTAACTTTATAACGAGATCAAGGCTACAAGGCCCATATGCAGTGGGATGGGATAGGAACAGTGCAATCCATTTTAGCAGACAATAGGTCTGAAGCATGTTAGGATTTGTGTTAGTAGTCTTTAGCGGGTGAGTTCTGAGGAGAAACTGGAAGGTGGCCTTAGGTGATGTACTGTATATTCTCCTTGCAAAAATATGTCAACAGACTTCAGTGAGTAGAAAGAACAGAGTGGTGGTTGCATCTTTCCAAAAAACAGTTACACTGGGTTTACTTTCCTTGCAGGATTGCCTGGTATACCTACTGAATCGAGATCAGCACACAGTAGGCCAGGAGACAGCTTCGGCACGACCTAACATCTGCCTGTCCTCCCCGGACATCCTCCCACTGCACTGCAAGATCAAGAAGATCCAGGTGGTCCGGAGGTTCAGCCACACTGTGGAGGAGAGGCTGGTGCTGGAGCCATTGCCTCATGGCAGTGTCTTAATAAACTTCTCCAAAGTGGAGTGCACCACCCAGCTGCGCCACGGTGACCTCCTTTCCTTCGGAGTGCACTACATCTTCCTTTACAAGGACCCTGTCAGCTCCAAGCCACTACCTGCCCAGACACTAACCAGGCTCAAAACCCTCAACCAGCTGTCTGAATCAGAGCTGGACATTGGCTCAGCCCAAGCCTGTAGAATGTGTGGCACAGTGATCAAAGACAAGTTCCCGCCTCGTCGAAATTTCAAGCCCCACCTGATCAAAAACAGGAGCCTACAGAGGAGGAAACTGCACCTGGACTTCGACAAAGCCCATGAGGATGAGTTGATTGGGAGAATAATGTCCCTTATTGAGCCAGGTGGGGATGACCACAAACTGACCCCAGCCTACCTCCTTTGCCTGTGCATCAAGCACTCAGCCACAGCTTTTGAGCCAGGGAGCTTTGGGAAGCTTCTTCTAAAGATTGTGAAAAGGATACAGTCTATAGCTTGGGTTAGTGTCGCTTTCCCTAAAGCATTGGGGATGTCTCTAAAAGCCTGTTTATTAATTGTGTGACATTCATTTTTCTCCTCGTTCTCTATTCCTTCGTCTTTCATTTCTTCAATGATTAAAACACCTTTGTTTCCAATGCTGCACTCTAAGAGGAGACAGGTCCTATATATTTATAATTATAAGCTCCCAGCTATTGCAGATTTCAACTGTCTTGACATTTAATTGCAGATAAATTGCAGATAAGAGTTGAGTTCAGAGACTTTTCTAAAGAGGTTCGGTATTGTGTGTGCCTTAACTTATCTTGTATAACAGTAATGAAGTCCTCCTTACTTGAATGCTCCAATGTAATGTTCCAGAAGTATATTACTTTGGTTGCACCTTGGGAGGTGTAAGATTAAAGAATATCTTATAGACACCCAGTGCAGTTAGTTGTCCTAGCAGAAATAACGTGCCATACTGAAAGCTATAAAGTAACTCTGACAAATGCTTTGAGTTTATACAAAAACATAGACACAAACAAAAATTTCCCATTATAAAAAAGAGTAATGTTTGACTGTGGCCTGTTTGCTTAGTAATTTCTGTTAGATTTAGAACCAAATAGAAATTATTGATTGTCACTGTATTAAAATAATATCAGATTACATTATGTAATACAAAGGAACAAAATCGTGCTATGTATCACTTGATCATTAATTAATATACCTAAGACACAAACTACTTTTCTATGTTCTTTCTCTAATAAGTACATTCTATATGATTAAGTAAACCTTATTGATTACTGAATGCATGTAGCTTGAATTAACTGGTGTGCCAGAGAAAGTCAAATGTTTCGTATAATCACATGTATACAGGAACATCATAAATGTTCAGAATAGTTCTTTTGAGTGATTACCTTTGACATCTTAATCCTTGTGCAAAGAATATTAGGTGATAATGGGAAAACAGAATGGTGTTGAATATATAGCACATAAAGCTGTAAATTCAATAATTGTAGCGATATTATGGTTCAGATTTATTGAAATTGGGACAGTAAACTTGGCGAGTACTTTATACAGTAGCTACTATATTACTTTATAATAATTAATCAATCAAGGCAGTCAACTTCAATACAGTTACCAGGAATACAATATATAGATATATTAACATTTAATAAAACTTGCAAAATAGACAACTGCAACAGTAAACATATATATAAATATGCATGAAGTAGTTCAGGTGGGTAGCTGTGTCAGCATGCGTAGGCTGCAAAGGAACAAGTAATAGGTTTATTCCATGCTGAAAAGAGAAGAAAGAAAACGCAACATTTCGGCCATGGATCTTTCTTCAGGTGTGAGCCAGCACAGCCTCCACAACACTTCTTCAGCCCTCACACCTGAAGAAGGCTCCACGACCGAAAAGTTGTGTTTTCTTTCTTCTCTTTTCAGCATGGAAATAGCCATTGTTCCTATAAATATGCATTGTTACAAATGGTTGATCATGCACTCAGGGATTTACAAAAAATATTAATCTGAACAGGGTAAGAATATGATGATTATAATATTTTATATTGTATCCAACCTTATAGTTTAATTATTCTCATTCTGTGTTCCAAATAACAGCTTAATTATTGAAGGTTTAAATGTGAAAATTGAATTTATCATCCAAAGTAAAACATTTGGCTAAGCTTTGTTGATCTTAAGGGGATAGGAAATAGCCGGATCCTGTCACAGTGTGAACAGTCCTTCTGTGCTGAATGCTGAAGGAAGTCCTGGCTCTGGGACAAATGAGCTTCAATTGGTGCAGGAAAAATAGTGGAAGGTTCCACTTTACCTCATGCTGAAGATGGATCCTTAAATGAAATGTGCATGAAAAGTTGGGAATTTCTGCAAATTGAGGAGAAACATAGAAGGTCTATTCACCCAACTTTTGTGGCTGCTACTCTGAATATTCCACAATATTCAGGGTTTTCCACAAAAGCTTAGCTGTATTATTTTATTGATCAGATGAAACTACAGTACATTTGGGAGCTTGCCACAAAATCTCTCTTGCTGCAGAGGACATTTTGGGCAGGATTCTTTTCATGTTTAGTCTCTCAGTCTGGCAGTTACTTTCAGGTAACTTTTTACTTTCCACCTGCAGAATGGATAGTAGTTGTTAGAGCCATGTGAATTGTTAGCTGTCGAGTTCCCAAGGTTTCCTGATCGAGAACATACCAAACTATAATTGTGTTGTCATGGGTGGTGAAATGGTTATGATGTCTCAATGTGGGCAGTTCATCACTTAGAAAATTGACTAGTTAAGCAGTGCCAGGGTAATTTTCTGGTAAGGCAAGAGGAACATTTTTATACCTTTTCTGAACACTTAATTCTAAGCATAATAATAATTAATTTCGAACAACCTTTGGATTTCCATTTAGAAAATGCCCTTCATGCTATGTATTTCCTCATGACCTCTTCCTGTTGAATTGTTATGAACTTGAGCAACTTAAAGTGAAAAATTCATTAAAACTAAGATTTTAACCCACAGGAAATGTTTTAAAATGAGAAGCCATTTAAATTTATTTCCCATGGTAAAACTTGCAGTTTTCTCATTTTTACAGAGGCAAATGGTCATGTAACTGATGTACAAACTGCATTGTTAAGGAGGATAAAAACACCCCTGGTGTGTGCAGCACATTGCTTCAAAGAGATGATTAAATTTGTAAGAAAACCATTCCATACATTCAAAATAGATTGACTCTGTTGTTTTTGTTTCTAGTTGAATTGCTGTTATTTTTCAATGTAAGCTGTTACTTATTCATTGTACTAAAATTTTGCAATTTGGGTTTGAAAGGTATAGCATTAAAATGGATTGAGTAGATAGCTGCGTCAGCATGGTAGCTGCAAAGGAAAAATTAGAGGTTACTTTCACACTGAAAAGGAGAAAGAAGAATAAAACACATTTCACACAAAGTGTGTTAAGCACTTAAATGCATTTTCAGAATGGAACTAATCTCTGTTTCTAGTAATACAATTGTCTTAAATTTGAATGATAAAGGTAACATTATATTAATTAATGTAAACATAATGAATGAAATTATAACATTTGCTGTGTACATGATGGTAAAATGGTCAACATTACTGTCTCACAGCACCAAGGCTCTGGGTTCTAATCCAGACCTGGGGTGCTATCTGCATAGAATATTGTATTTTCCCCATGTTTGCATGGGTTTCTACAGTACCTACAGTTTAAGGAAATACTGGTAGATTATTTGGCTTCTGGGGAAAATTGACCCTAGGTTCAATGTATGTGTGTCTGTGTCTCCCCTGCAATGGACTGATGTCCCATTTATTCATACCCCTGATCACATAATACAAAAAACTGTCAGATAGCAAAAAGATTTATGGATAGGATAATGTGTTATCATAATAGCATTGCACACAGCAGTCATATTTGTCAGAAATAATTAACATCTCACACCTGAAGAAGGCTCGACAGCCTCCACTGTGTTTCTCCTTCCTACTTTTCAGCATGGAATTAATCTTTTCTTGTTCCTCTCATGAAATAATTAATACATGTCTGGATCTTTATGCAGGTACTGTCAAATGATGGTTTATGACACCCTGAATCTCAAAGATGTCGGTTTTTGTTGGAGATCTCCAACTGCTATCTTTGGATTTATTGTTGCCTCTTGAATCACTTGTCTCACAGTTCGTGGTGTGAAAATATAGTTGCATCCTCTTAATGGCTGGATTGCCACTGTACCGGTAGCCTTAAATTTTATTTATAATGGACCCTACAATAAAAAATGGAAGATTAATCTTTTATAGATTATTTTATAGCCACAACTTGAGCAGGTCAGTGACCATTTGTCTGCATTCTTCAGAGAATCTTCTGACCATGATGAGGCTAGTTGCTAGTTGCTACAAACTGTCCCCCTCGTGCTATCTCCTTTTATACACCAGAAATGGGAAACCTTCATAGACCTCTACATAGTCCAGAATACACAAGTAGGATGATATTGTAGAATTGTTTTTGTGTGTTGTTTTTTTAAAGATTCCTAAACAGTAATACACCATAAATCTTACCCTTGTTTTTTCTGGAATTCAGTTATGATAAATATGAATTTGCTCTGTGCAATTGTATTCTAATTACAATGCAACATTTTTAGAGTTGTGTAAAATAAGGTACATTAACTAGGCAATATTTGTTTCTGTTATACTGTTATACTGTATGTTGTTTGTTCCTTTTCAATCTAGATATACTTTATAATGCCTATTTAATATAAAAAATAAACATCTTCCTCATTTATTTTTGTATATTGATGTTTTATGGTTTCCTTAATAGCTCTCTGCTCCTTTATGCAATGGCTTTAGCATGTCTAATTGTGTGTCTCTCACAGGAGAAGACGAAGGAGCTGGCAGAAAAGCAAGCCCAGCAGTGAGTATTGCATTACCCATTATAGTGGTCCATTTCTTTATCCCAAAAGGCTACAGTTAAACAAAGCTGAACAATTCAGTGATATGTAAGAGGGAATATTAGTATAAGAAAGAATTCTCAAAGTGTCTGTGAGGAACTGAAGCAAGACATATTACACGATGTGAAGGATCTTTTTTATCTTTCACATTTAGGGATTGATTGAATGCAAAATAGAAATTTCTACAAAATCGTTGAATTTGTTCTCGTACAGAGCTTATATCAGCTTTGTGCTGATATAAATGTGCAGACAATATAATAACCCTATAATAAGATTAAAAACATGTTCTGCATTCATAACATAAAACAGATGCCAGAGACTGAGTTAAATGTAAGTTTGCTTTGTATTTATCTTGTTAGAACTACAAATTGGAGACTTTTATATATTAATTATACTGTAAATTTTAAAAGTAGTTTATCCAAGTTTCAGTCACAATTCTAAATACACAAAGCATCTTAATACCAGTGAATGTGTTTTTAGATACTCTTACTAGTCAGACATAATATTGTTGTAGGGCTAATAGGAAAAGTTTCAACTTAAAGCTGCCCCTGTTGGTGGTGACATTGACAATACATGCTGACATTGTCCTTCTCTCCCATCGAATAGCCAGGACCCAGCCTCCTTGTCTCTCCTTAGTATCTCTGACCTGGTCCCTGACCTTCAGATCATTCTCTTCTGGATGTCCAACGCAATTGAGATCCTCTATTTCATACAGCAAAAGTCTCCTGTTTACATGCAAGGCATTGAACAGATGGATATTAAAGGTACTTGCTTTCATATTTTGTTGAACAGACCTTTTTTAGGTGTGTGTATGTAAAGTTTAGGGCTCTAGAGTGGCTCGTTGAAATTTGATAGTGGAGTTACACTCCCACCCTAGTGGCCCTTTACGATTGGCATTGACCAGGGGGTATCTACAAAAAGTATTGTTTACTGATCTGAGCAGATGGTTTAATGCAAGGCCTCAAGCCCTTCTGAACAATTAAGGGTTTTAATGTGAGTGTTCTTTATTTACACATTAGCAGATGGCAAGATACAGTATATGCCCTTCCCTCTTTGTTTATAGATTTAATTTTTTTTCTTAGATTTTGTGTTGTACATTATGAAAAAATGTTTTGAACTTTTTTCAACATAAACTTCAGCCGGTGGCACTTTGCTTAGGTAGATTGCATATACTGTGACTCAACAGTGCCTGGGTCTTAGGGTAGCTCATGGCGAACAGGTGCAGCTGTGAAATCATGGAACTAAGGATGAAGCCACCACCTGATTCAAAGGTGTATTCAAGTCAGATAGTTAAAGTGAATGAAGAGACTGCTGTTCTAAAGTTAGTCCTCACTGTTTTATATTTAAAACTGGCATATGTTAATATTCTATTACTACATAGTGACACAGAGATGTGTTATTTGCTTCTTCAATGTGTATATATATTTACTGTGTTTTATAAATCAAGTAGGGATCCTGGGGCTTCTTTTCAAATATGAAACCAACTACAAGTCATTATTTTACCGTCACAAAGTCTTAACCAAATAACTCCAAGAATGAATCTAATGAACCCCAAAAATGTGTGGCAGAATTTATCTGTAATGATAAATGTAGACTGGTGTGTTGCAAATGTTAATTAAGTACATGGTTTGGGAGTCATTTGTTATGGAGATCCTTGTGAACTGAGAGTAATAAATCAAGATGTGACAGCTTATACAGAAGATAGCTTTCATGTAGAAGAACTGCATTAGAGAAATAAATGTTAAGCAAAACTCTTAAATCTTAAAAGATAAAACCCCTTTGCTTCCTGAAATGTCTGGTGTAATGCCTTGCATGGTGGAAATGAAAGACAGTTGATTGGGCGAGTCAGTGAAGGGCACTTGATCTTGCTTTATTGCACTCTTGTCCTATGCCCAGTGTAATACAGCGTGATACAGCGAACTGGAGGTGCTTTGTTGGTAAATGATGTTTGAGTGCTAATTAACAGTGACAGCCTCCAGCCTCTGAAATGCTATTATCTCTCACAAGCTTAGCTGGGATTCACCGTCATAACGTCCTTGTGACTGGTGTTACTAAAGATGGAATTAAAGTCAGAACAAGACAGTGTTCTCTATCGTGGATAGAAAACAACAATAAAAGACTTGCAGGTTTAATGATTCATTGTTAAATTGTTTTGTGTGTGTTACGGATTATAGCAGTCCATGTCTGTCTGTTTATTTACTGTTTAATTCATTTGGATTAATAAGTGTTAACCATTCAGGCTACATTTTCTCAACAGCCTATTTAGCAATCAGATCCATTTTTATGGTGGGAAAGGTTATTGCTGACATTTTATTGTCTTTGGCCAAAATAAACAGTGCTGTAACATACATGTGATGCTCTGTGTCTCCCACAGGAGTCTTATCTCAATAGTAAATTTTTTTCAGTTCTAGTGGAGTCTGCACAAACAATGAAATACAGTTAAAGAAAAACAATTATTTTATTTGAATTAATATTAAAATTGATAAATAATCTGAACAAAACATTCCCATAGCCTTGAAAAAAGTAATTAAGATCTGAAAATGCTTTTTTAAATTTTTGACAGTTGGTTTCTCCTCAAATCTCTTGAAGCTGATTGAGTTTCTTTCTGCATTTATGAAACCTTTTAGATAGGCTTGGAAAGAAAAAAAAGTTTGTTCTTACAACTACATGTAAAGTAACACTGACAACTTTATTCCTGGTAATTTCAGTTCGGGTTGAAATGCCATTAATTTTAGTGTTACACCTAAGCAAGCATCCTATAATTGCAAGGTAGATCTGGCTTTAAAACTCATAACTAAACTCCATATTGGTGACCAAAAATATTGCATGTCTTTGGATTTTCCAGTAATTCTGTCCATAACGTCTTTGAACCTGCACTTGGAAATTTTATCTTGAAAGCATAGAGAAAAAAAGAGTAGCAATCTATTTTGTGTTTTTGTTGATATTCACACTATGGAGGTGGTAAACTTAGTTTAGGTCTTAGTAGGTCACAGTATACTTACATTAACATAGTGTCTGTCCTTGTATCAAGCATATTAAATTCCTGGGTTCCCACTTCACTTTTTTAATTTTAATTTAACAAATTCAATAGTTAGACTATCCTTCCATGTGCTTGTCAGCATTTTTTTCCTAGCTAAAATAATAATCTGTAATACTTGTGACCTTTATCCAAGAATACCATTATAGTAAAAGTCACTGTGTGCTGTGCCCTCTGTAACAACCCTTTCCAATGTACCCTATGCATTTATGCTAACTCAGGCTGTAGAGCTCAGCATGTAGAGGTGTCTGGAAGGAATCCCAAACCAAGCTTCTTATCTTCAACACAGTGTAATAGTAGAAAGTCTCCATGGACAAATGTTCTGGATGCAGATTTATTAACAATATTTCGGTTTAGGAAAAATACAGCTGTTCTGTTTATTATTTAATATTATTCACAACAAATATTTCTACACCATCTTCACACTCAGAAAACATTTGTTTAGTATTACAGAATGCGCAGTATTGACAGCATAGTTTCTAAACAGAATTAGACCAGCTAAATATCCCAGGCCCACTTGAGCAAGTCTGTTTACACCTAAAACTAATTCAGTACTGTTTATTGTTGTTACACAAGAATTGTACAAGAAGAAAATTGTCTTAATAAATGACATATCATTTCTAACATCAAAAACCTAAAATGGCCTCCAGGTTAACATTTGTCTGTCAGAGACAGAGCCTCATGTGGAAGCAGAGATCTGAGGTGACACAACTCAAGATCTTAATGACGAGTCACAATTCTTATGAAAAGAGGCCAATAGGAAACTACAAGAAAATCCTGTTGCCAGAAAATAAGAAGTGACAAAACAGCTGAGGTACAGAATGAAACAGTATTAAGGGCACATAAGAGAAGTAGATGCAAGACTATTAATAAAGATTCTGTATGTTTTTTTTGCAACACATCCTAATCAGCAATGCCAAATTCTTTCTTTTATTTCTGGCAAGACTGGAGTGACCATTTAAGAAAATGACAATATACATTAAAAGAAAATACTCCTAACCATACATTTGACAACACCATTCTATTCGGTGGACACACTACCACCTTAAGCAAGAATGAATTTGAATGAATGTTAATGAATAGATTTGAATTCTTGCTTTAATGGATTGACAGCAATATTTAGGAAGCTCCATAAACTAACTGAATTGAAATTGTTCATATTGATATACACATGAGTCATTTGATTTAAGTATTTTCAACACTGTGCAACTTGCTGCACATTTTTTAGAAAAGTACGGTCTTGAATGAATGCTGTCCAGTTATTTATTTTCAACTGGAAAAAAGACTGTGCTGTTTGAAGTGCTTATTGAAAACATGACACAATTCCTTTGCTGTATCTGGCTTATGCCGCATTGCTACCATACTGTCTGGTGCTGTCTATAACAGCAGCATAACCCCTTAGCCTGGAGGGTTCCAGAGAAATACAGTATATTGGAGATGCACTGGTTGCTAGACTGTGACCATTATGCAGGTTTTTGTACATATCTCAATGTGGGATAAGTCTGATACCTAAGAATTGGAGAATCTCTTTACAGTTAATCTGTTCTTAACCTGAATAATGATCTCTTGCAGCAGCAAAAACACATACATGTTTGACTTGTCTCATTGCAGCTAAAAAATGTTAATGATGCATTCCCTGCCATCGCTTTCTACTACTTGGATGTATGTTGCCAGTGGAGAGGTGGCAGCCGAGGCTTGGAGTGCTGCAGCAGAAGCAGTCGTTTCCTCGCTGCACAGTGCCTCTGTCATTGCTGTCTTATGCTGCTACTGTGGCACTTGGGTAGCAACAGGAGGGGGTGCTCGGGATAGTGGGAGTGCTGTTGTACTTTACTAATTTGTGTGAGAGGGTGGCATGTTCACACAAGAAGTCACTTTGAATTATTGACCTTAGCTGCCCAGTTTTCAACTAGAGAAGAACTGAAGAAGCCAGTTAGCAATTGTGTGTCCCATTTGTGTAAATATTGATGATCAATGAAATGGCAAGAGTCTAGTGCATCAGTAACTCATTGGGCACATATAATATGTTATCTACATTTTAGAATGAACAGATAGATGTTGATTGTTGTAGTATGGTAGTATTGTTCTTTGGGATAAAAATTACAGAGTTTGTTGAGTTAAAATCTTAAAAAATTTGAAGACATGATTTTATTTAGCATGTAGAAGTGAAAAATCTATAACAATAACATGCCCCCATCCTGATTAGAGATGTCACCTGAAATAATAATAATAATAATAATAATAATAATAATAATAATAATAATAATAATAATAATAATTTTCTACTTCAAAATTCAGCAGACCAGTCCAGAGAAACCAATCAACTGGTTATGTTAGGGACAGGCCATATCCTGAAAGGTATAGCATCACCACTCCAGTTCAGGGATATCACACTCATCTGATCCATCCACATCTACAATCATTTCCAGAATGCTGTAGAATTGTAGCTTATTATCTGCATAAAAACGTCTAGAGGCAGTTCAGGGGTAAACCTGAGTTAACAAAGTTTGTTATTGACCAATGCATGTTGCTTTATCCTTGACGAACCTGATGGCGACAATGTGATGACCACTATACCAATTGTTGCTCAGATGTGTTGAGATTGAGGGCAAGCTTACTGCTCAGCAATACATTGACAAAAGACCTTGTACACTACACAATTGAGAAGCATTGATTTTTCAGAATAAGACTAAAATTACAATGGCAAAACATCAAGAAAACAGTGCCAAGACCTGGTTGTGGTCAGCATTTTTTCCTGACCTGGATCTGATAGAACATCTATGTGAATAGCTTGCCAATGGCCATTAACTGGAGAGAATGATCACCAATAGCCAACTGGCTGCAGCTTTACAGGAAGATTGGCAAAGCATCCCACAGCAGTCTGTCCAGAGGCAGGTGTATGCCTCAGCACTGCCAGGATTGTGTTAAAGATCAGGAAGATCATATCTTACCATGTATAAACTTGCCCAAATCAAACGTTGGTTTTTTTTTTTTGTATTTTGACAGTGTGTCACATTGTATGTTGAAAACTTAACATGGTTTTCTGTATTTTGGTTCATATTTTGTCTGTTTGATTTCTATGTTTAAAATATTTGATTAAGTCCATGTGAGTGTTGTGGTTCTTCCTTCACTATAGAAACTAGATGGCAAAGCTCCATGGCAAAGCTTTTTTGACACATGTAGCAGTTAGTTTTTTCATGTAACTGTTCCTTTAGGATGTTGCTTTCCAAAAAAGTATTTTTTTTATTTGACATTAAATATTGCTTTGAAAATAATAACATAAGGTCTTACAAATACTGAAGAGCATAAAGCACTGTAGAACAGAGGACTGCATAACCCAGCCTCTGGAAACATTGGTGTGGTGATCCTGAAGTGATTTCCTCCAACTGTTTGAAGGAATTTCCTATTTCACATGGGAGAATAGACAAACTGACCTGAGCCTTAGTTACTTCACATTCTTTTTTCCACTAGTTTTATTACAGTATATATTTACAGACATATTTCCAGCTATTTGGATTGAATTTTTTGCACTAGGATAGCCCTTTTAGCCTTTATACTATAATATTTGTATTTTCTTTTTTAGTTAATGCTATTCTGTTTTTTCTCTCTCTTATTTCGGAAATCATTTTCTGAATCTTTCAAAACCATTTCTTTGCTATCTTTGCTATCTACTCCAAAATTTTCTATGGACAGGTAAACTGTTACATACTCCACTGTGCAAATCTTGAAACCAAATCATCCAGACCTTACATTTATAATTTAAAAAAATGTATTTTCAATAACCAACTTATTGTTCTTTTTTTCCATTTAATTTCAAATTGCTCAGGGTGACTATTTTTAAAACTTGCAGTGTATTCCTCCCAAGACATACTGGATTGAAACTTCCAGAGTTTGCATGTATGAATTCATACAGTAGAATACATGCAGGATCTGTGGAAGAGATAATTAAGACACCTGAACTGTTGCTGAAAAAGCAAACCTGTGTTTCTGAGAAACCACAGGAAATGTTTGAATCTCTTTTCCCTTTCAGCTGCATTGTAAAACTGAGCAAAGGAATGGGTTGATGAATTGATGGTGGCAGAAATAGCCCAGAAACTCTTGAATGTTGTTGAAGTCAGTCACTCAGCTTGATAAATTATGGACCAGGGGTTGATTTATGGAAGAAAAGAAAGTTATGGAAGCATGTATGAAACCCTCAGTACCGAAATTATTACATTTTGTCCTGCTTGGGGCATAATTTTATATGGCATCAAACTTTCCATATTGCCTTTTTGGTTCTTTTTTATGTGCCTTCGGTAGTAAGCTGAAATAGACTTGATTGGGAAATTGTGCAGCTTATGCTTATGTCAGAAGGCTCTGGGTGGCTTTAAAAGATAACTTTCCAGAAACAAAATTTATGTTTTCATTAAATTCTGTCCATGATCTGATTTAAAAGTTTTTTGTTTATTTTTAGGCTCCAAGGAATCTCTGCTTTCCACTACAATATCAGCCAATGAGGAAGCCATGACAATCCTGGAGGAGGTGATAATGTACACATTCCAGCAGTGCATCTATTATATAACCAAGGTAAAGAAAGCAAGTTAGTTTTAAAGAATATGAAGCTCTCTCTCAGCGTTCATTATATGGTTAATCAAAGTCTAAGACAGTCATATAACTGTTGGTTCTTAAAGAGTGATGAGCTCATTATTACAACCATTCATACTCAATCTTACTGTATGTTAATGATGGGTATTATTTTTATCCTTTTTATTGTTTTTATTTTAAACAAAAATGATAGAATTATTTCATTATCTTCTAATAAACAAGTTTATATTAATGAGGTGACACAGGATATTCCCTGATCTTTAAAAAAGTAAGGTTTTATTAACCTGTTCTGAAAAAGGATCCATTATAAGGTGTTGAATTTCTACAGTGCCCTGGTAAAATAAGACAGCCAATTGTTAAATATCTGATGAGGGCTTGAAAATGGAAATGGAAGTTTTTCAGGATACACCAAAATATTTAATGAACTAGCTGTGTCAGTGGTATAAATTGGGATGTGAAGACATGACCACCACATACTATTACATCAAACCAAGTCTAATATTTACAGTGGATAAAATGTGTGGTCTTTATCTCCCAGTAGGTCTCATGGTAAATTATAAGTGGTGAAGCATTGTACGGCACATTAATTACAGAGTTGGGTTAATATTGTTGTAAGACCATTTTGAACAAATGATACATTGCACACTATTCGTGCTGTGCCTACTGGGGTTATACAGTGCAGTGCTGTAAGGAACTGCAAGTCTAAGAACACTGGAATTCTGCCAGTGCTGCTCACCCTTGATACCACCAATAAAAGCATGCCTTGCTGATACAGTATATGGGCAACTGAGAATCTTTTTAGCAGCACATTTCTAATGTTATTCTGAAAACAGAATTGCAAAATAGACAAAAGTTGCTTCTTTTCTCTATAGAACAAAATACTCTGTTTTGCACACTTTTATATTAAATCTTACTGAATATTATGCTGCATAATATGGAAGTAGCATAGAGAATTCTGTATTTTGAATACCTTTATATTTCTTGTAAAAATCTTTGGATTTTTCCTAGCAGCTAGATGTGCTGTGAATTTAATGGTTTTTGTTACGTCCCTAATGGGTTTAACAAGGCATGAGGTGAACCTCACACTGAACAAGACTTATTTACTCCATGTACCAAACATTTATTAGAGTTATTTCCTCTCTATATTCCCCAATGGCAGCAGATGGTTATCAGCCTGCTGGTACACAGAGTCAGGTGCTGGCACACTCTGACACCAAAAAGCCTTCCTAATCAGCAGTCTTATGTGTTCCTGACCACCTGGTGTGAAAGATATTAGCAGCTCCATCTTTGGAAGTTGCAGACAATCCACTGTCGACCACCAGGCTGGAAGGTTGTCTGGACCGAGGGGTTTAGTCTGGATGAGACTGTGGCAGAATGTGAACTCCAGTTCCTCTGACCACCTGCCAAGAGTTAAATCCCTTTGACCTGAAAATGGATTGCCTTAGCATGGGAAAAGCAACTGCAGGGGACATCTGAGTTCTATTCAAGACATACTGTAGGTTTCCTATGGAGGCCATGGAGTTCCAATGCAAACCTTGTTTAGAGTCATTTTCAAGGCTGTTACTGTTTCTGCGAAATTTGGTCTTTTATACAATACAGTATGTTCACTACTCTATATACAGTTGATCCATAAACTAATAAAAATAAAATGGTGCCAGTATTTCTCTTTTTCAGCTTGTCAACAAGGACACTTAATAATATTGTGTTAGTTTCACCCTGCAACTCACAACTGGCAACCCATTGAAGCTAGGCAGGTGTGAGCCTGGTCAGTACCTGGATGGGAGACCTCCTGGGAAAAACTAAGGTTGCTGCTGGAAGAGGTGTTAGTGTTGCCAGCAGGGGGTGCTCACCCTGCAGCCTATGTGGGTCCTAATGCCCCATTATAGTGACGGGAACACTATACTGTAAAAAGGCGCCATCCTTCGGATGAGACATAAAACTGAGGTCCTGACTCTCTGTAGTCATTAAAAATCCCAGGGTGTTTCTCGAAAAGAGTAGGGCTGTAACACCAGCATCCTGGCTAAATTTCGCATTGGACTTTACCAATCATGGCCTCCTAATAATCCCCATCTGTGAATTGGCTTCATTACTCTGCTCTCCTCCCCACTGATAGCTGATGTGTGGTGAGCGTTCTGACGCACTATCGCTGCCGTCGTGACGTTGTCCATGTGGACGTTGCACACTGGTGGTGGATGAGAGTCCCCATTACCTGTAAAGTGCTTTGAGTGGAGTGTCCAGAAAAGTGCTATATAAGTGTAAGCAACGATTATTAATTATGTGAGTAAGACTGGGTCCTTCAGACTGGCATTCTGTTCAAGGCCATTGTTTCACAACTTGACAATCCGTGCCCCTAGCCTTTTGGATTCTAGGCTAGCTGCCAGTGTATTTACAATGTGCGTGTGCTTTTTTGGTCATAGATAAATTGTATGATAGTCAATTAAGTCAACAAATAACTAAATTCACATGCGTTTTAGCCTTGGGAACTCTTAGTTTAGGAGAAAAGGAGTTTGTATGCCTTTCTCTTGAAGTATTGTGAAATGAATTGTGAAATACAAAGCCCGTATCGTTGCTACAGTCTTCAGTGAAAGCATGCTGTATGTTGCATTTTCTTCAAACTAAACAAGTAATTTTGTACTGTTATGTGGGGTTGAATGGGAAGATGTAACATGTACCAACTAAATGCAAGGCAATAGTTGTTCATGCAGTCACAAAAATGGGTTTATGAACTACCTATGGTTAGCAGTACCTTATAGCTACTGGTGCTTATTAACAGACTTTGTAGTCAGGGATAATTTACCAAAATCCTTTTAAATTAATTAATTAATCATAGAAACCAATAAAAATTATAAAAAAATGTGTTTCTCATAACTTTAGACTTATTTAGTACATTCCACTTGGCAACACACTATCACAACATTTGTGAATAGATGAAAGAATTTGATTTGTTTAACATAAATGTTATGGCTAACCCCCCAGATAACTAAGGTATATTATGAGTCTCTCTCCAAAGATCCTTTCAAACACTTGCAACACAAAGAAAAGCTGCTTTCTAATGCACAATTTCCTCACACACTTGATTTCTGAGATGTATTATGTAGCCTGATGTGTGTCATTATCACCTACTGTACCTTCTCTCCACTTCTTCAGATTTGCAATTCAGCTTTAATAATTAGAGGAATTGCACCCTTTTTTAAAATTATTTTTTACTTTGGAAAACAAGGATTGACATTAATCATTATAGTTAGATTATGAAATCAAAGTTGTAGAAATTGGTATTAAGTCTATGTCTAAAAAGTTCATCTGAATTTTACATGCAATATAAAGAAACTTAATAGGTTAACAGGATTAACCTGAGCCCAGTGACTTTCAAGTATCTCCACTGGGAAGGGAGACAATGTGACTTATGCCCCATCTGTTCTGTTGGAGAAGCTATAATTGGTGCTGTACAGCTCTCCTAATATAAATTTTATGCATGCTCTTAGGCTGAAACCTTATCTGTGTTATGGGTGTGTGTCTGTTGTTTGCCAGGGCTCCTGAGTTTCATTATGAAAAAAATCCTTGGTTATGAGGTAAGGAAAAGGGTTGTTGTCAGTAAATTATTAAAATAACCTTCTGTACATACAGTACCTGCTCTAAGCCAAAAAAAGAAGGTATTGGGAAAAAGTAATAGCCTTCATGAGGAGTTCATTTGGATTAAGAACTACTGTGGAAATCTGGAATTTTAACTCTTTTTTTAAGTCTTAACTGTTTGAAAATGTTCATTAAAAATATTTTATTGTTTAAAAGCTTACGGGTGTTGGTTTAATACCTTGTATCTTATAGATAACATTTATTTTTTAAATTTTGCCTTCAAGATATAACATATTTCAAGGTTAAAATAAAGTAGTTATAGTAGGTAGACTATAACAATGGAGTGGAATTTTATTCTTCTTATTATTATATTATTCTTTCTAATTTATATCAATGAGCTAGATTTTTGCATAGTTGGTAAACTAGTCACATTTTCAAAGAACACCAAAACAGAGGGATTAACTAACACTGCAGAAGCAAAAAAAAATATATATATATATTCAAAAATTGGGCTGAGAGCAGAGTGTTATATGCAGGTAGTAAGTAAATACAGGGAAAAACTGGGCTTGAAGAGGTTATTTTAAAAGTCTGTAGCTGTTGACAAACCATTTCCTTTTTGTAGTATGAGGGGAAGAACTAAAGAAGAGGTAAAATATTGTTAGCAGCAGACATTACAGAATCAATTACAGTGCCAACTGTGGAAAACTATTTTGCTAACAGTGTTAACCTGTATATTCTGGCAGACCAGAAATCTATGAGAGCTTGAACATGGCATTCCTGAAATTCTGAATACTGATCAGGCGCATTGAGTTGATCTGAAAATATGACTAGTTTACTAACAATGCAAAAATCTAGATCATTGATATAAATTAGAAAGAATGGTTGTAATGGCTAAACTGTTGGAGAGCTTCTAATGAGAGTACTAACTTGTATGTGGAAGACCAATTGCATACTGTACATGCATGATCCAGAACTCAGAATGACCATGGGTTTCAATAGTTCAAGCACTAATACTACAGGAATAAGTTTGGAAAGAGCTAGTTCCATTGCTAGGTGACCACAAGATGAAAGTTCACTGTTTACTCATACTGCAGCTGCATGAGATCTTTAGTAACTTGCAACAAGCTGTAGACCCAGCTTTCTCATTCATAACCATCTTATATGCTAAGCCACTAGACCTCCACACTATTATCAACTGGATGCATGTCAATAACATCACCAGTTGGAGATCCCATGGAGTATTGGAAAGATGCACATTTGAAAATGGTTCCTTTTCAGGCTGGTTTAGAATTTTCTACAACATCAAGCAAGTGGTATATTGGAGTCACTGTCACATCAAGTGCTGTTTGCCACATTGGTGTTGTTGATGTGAGATACTCTATCAAGGGTGGTCATCACTTTGGACTGCAGGGCAGAACATCCACACTCGATGTTTGATGCTGCTGATGCACCACAAGCCAATTTCCAATTGCCAAGTTCCAAGGCCCATCTACTGCACCAGCCCATCATATCATTGTTAATCTAAATGTGTCTCGGTTCCAGTAGAGCGGATTAATGTCCACAAGTCCAGAATGTTCACAATGACAACAGAGGTCAGTGTCCCATATTTGTAGAATGCAGTGACAAATGTTGAAAAATGGGCTCCATCTTGGTCCCCGTATAACTTATTAATCAAGTTTTAAAAACCAAAACAAGGGAAAACAGATTTGTAAGATGGAAGTACTGTAGCAGGCCTTCTTAATTAATCACCCAACACAGATCAGATTCTTTTTGTTCCAAACTCCTTTACAGTGTGCACTTTACACTACTACAGAATGTTTTTCAAGTTCAAGTTCCCGTTTGTTTGTCATTCCAGCCATATACAAGTATACAGTGGAATGAAATATCATTCCTCATGGGCCACAGTGCAAATACAGACAGGAAAAACAGGACACTAACATAGACATTGTAGACTGGATACATATAGTCCTAAGTGCAGACAGTGCAAATTCCTAAAGCAAATACATAATACAATATCCACAAAACACTGGGGAAATTATATCCTGTTTCTGGAATTGGAGTGGGTGCAAATAGATTCCAGGGTGTTGAGGAGCCTGACAACATGTGGGAAAAAGCTGTTACAGAGTTTGGTGGAGCTAGCCCGTACACTGCAATATCTTTTTCCAGATGGTAGGAGGACAAATAGTTTATGGGAGGGGTCATCTACTATACTAGAGGCCCTGTGTATGCAGCGTTTGTGATAGGTGAGAGAAATGGAAGGGAGGGAGGCTCCAATGATCTTTTCAGCTGTTTCCACAATTCTTTGCTGGGTCTTGTGGTCTGAAACGTTGCAATTTCCAAACCAAACAGTGATACAGCTGGTCAAGGTGCTCTCAATGTGCTTCTGTAGAATGTGGTAAGAATGGGCGCGGGAAGGTTTGTGCTCCTCAGTCGCCACAGGAAATAGAGACGTTGCTGTACTTTCTTGGCTAGGGAGGTGGTATTGAGGGACCCAAGTAAGGTCATCTGTAATGTGTACACCAAGAAACTTGATGCTTCTAACTGTCTCCACAGGGGAGCCGTTGATGTGCAGTGGGGAGTGATCAGTGGTGGGCCCTTCTGAAGTCAATGATTATCTCTTTAATTGTTTACATTAAGAGATTGTTGTTTGTGCACCAGTCCACTAGTTGCTCTGCCTCCTCTCTGTATGGAGACTCATCGTTGTTGCTAATGAGGCCCACCACTGTCGTGTCATCAGCAAGCTTGATGATTCAGTTTGAACTGTGCTTGGCAGTACAGTCGTGAGTTATCAATGTGAACAGTAGTGGGTTGAGCACACAGCCCTGGGGGTTCCGGTGCTCATTGTGATGGTGCTGGAGATGTTATTTCCGATCCGGACTCTTGAGGTCTCTTGGTCAGAAAGACCAGAATCCAGTTACAGAGGGAGGTATTAAGGTTCAGCATGATCAATTTTTCTATCAGCTTCTGGGGGATGATTGTATTAAATGCTGAACTGAAGTCAATGAAAAGCATTATTACATAATAGTCTTTCTTATCCAGGCGGGACAGGGCCAGGTGAAGGGCAAGAGATACGGCATTATCAGTAGACCAGTTGGGGCGGTATGCAAACTGAAGGGGGTCTTAAGGGTTAGGGAGTCTGGACTGTCTTGATGTGGCTCATGACTAGTCTCTCGAAGTACTTCATGATAATTGGTGTGAGTGCCATGGGGTGGTAATCATTGAAGCAGGACACTGACTTCTTCGGCACTGGTATAATAGTGGTGGTTTTGAAGCATACGGGGATGACCGCCTCGCACAAGGAGCCATTAATATATATATATACTGTACAATATATATGTGAGGACATCAGCTAGCTGTTCTGCACAGTCCTTGAGCACTCAACCAAGTATATCATCGGATATACCTTACGTGGATTAACTTTGGCTAGTGTCCTCCTTACATCATCTGCGGACAGCCAAAACACCTGATCATTGGGAGGAAGTGTGGTTTTCCTCACAGACACAACATTCACTGCTTCATACCGTGCATAGAAGTTGTTCAGCATATCCGTCACTGGCACGTGAGGTAGTCCTGTAATCAGAAATGGACTGGATGCCCTGCCACATGTGCTGCATGTCCAGGAAGTGGCCAGGGATTTTCCGTGCTTTGCCTCCCTGATGGCATGGGACAGGTTGATCTAAATGCAGCATCACGGGTTCTTAGCAGTGCATGGACCTCTGCAGTCAGCCATGACTTCTGGTTGGCCCGTGTGATGGTGGATTTAGAGACAGTGACGTCATCTATACACTTACTGATGAAGCCAGTTACAGATGCTGCATACTCCTCTAAGTTGATGAGATGCTCATAGGTAGCAGCCTCCTTGAACATATTCCAGTCTGTGTGCTCAAAACAGTCCTGTAATGCTGAGATGGCTCCATGTGGCCATACTCTGATCTGTTTCAGAACTGGTTTGGTGTGTTTTAGCAGCGTTCTGTATGCTGGAATTAGCATAACAGAGATGTGGTCAGAGTAGCCCAGGAGGGGGCAGGGAAAAGCCTTGTACGTATAATTTGATGTTATAATTGCAAAAAAATGTTAGGTTAAAAAAATAATAATCAGATACCAAGAATACTGTGATTAAGTCTAGTATGTTTTTGGCCTTTTCCATTCCAGTCTTTGTATGTTTCTCTGCCTGGCCTCTTGGATTGCAACCCTTTCGCGGCAGACAGTAGTGACCCCTGTTGGCGAGGCTCGGGAATGCTCCCTGAGTCGATTCGTAAACTGCTCCAGATCCTTCAGACAACCCAGGACCTGCTCCAGCAGTACGAGGTCCACCCTGAGATCCAGTCCCAGATGTTTGCATACCTGTTCTTCTTCTCCAATGTCTCTCTCTTCAACCAACTCTTAGACAAAGGTGAGGCTTCAGCTTGTTTTCCCAAAAGGGTCCTACTTCCTTTTAAAAGACACACGTTTGTTATTATCAAATACAAACACCAGAGATCATTTACACATTATACACTAAAGTCCTATTTTGCAATTATGTAATACAATGCCTGCTTTCTTAAGCCTTGACTAAAAGTGTCTTCTTGTAATAACTACCATCATTTCCCCAAGCTCTTTATACCTCCAAATCCAATTTATTTGTTCTGCCGGTACTGTATATTGGATTCCAGATAAGTCCTACATAATGATTTCAACAACATTTTGATTTTTCTTTACCAGAAAATCTTTAAGCAGAAAACAATGTAAAAGTAAAGCAGCACCTCCTTTGCACTGGCTTTAATCACCTGGGGCAGTTCTTTATGACAGAGTCAAATATGAGCTAGATAGTGTTGAAGAGCTGCATTTTTATATGACACTGCTACCTTTCCAGTAATCAGTGTTGCCACCTCAGAATAGAAATACCTCATTCACTAGTAAGAAAAATGGAGCAACTTAATCAAACAAATAGAAGGTTTTTACCAACATGCTTTACAGTGCATTAATTTAAAGTGGGAGAGTTAATAATAAACTAGGGATAGACTATATTGAAAGAAGTATTAAAAACAACAGAGCTAGTGGTATTGAAATGTAACTGTTGTAGTTTCTGGTTTGTTGTGTTGTTTCTCTAAATCTCTAAATTTAATCTCTAAAAAACATTTGATACTGTATGTTCCTAAACTCCTTATGGCAGAACAAATAATGTTAAAGAAAAAAAAACTGGAAATTTCATGGGAATTTCACAGAAAGTGACAAATATGTAATGCATCTGAATAATTATATATATATAATATAATGATTTATATAAGTTTATATAATATTTATCTAAGTTTATGTTAGTTTTGTTATAAAGTTTAATTATTTCATTATAAAATGTTGTGTTCTTGCATGCTTTTGTGCTGTGTGTGTTTTGCTATTAAATGGTGTTAAATAAGACTTAGCCAATTTTCTAAGACAGTTTAGATATTATACAACCAAAACCTATAGATATGTAAACCAGTATCTATATATATGTTAACGTCTCTCAGCTGCAACAGCAATACACAAATCTCTAGTACAGAAATCAGGGAGAAAGATTATTCTGATCTTTTAATTAGAACATTGTGTTTAAAAGGGCATAGCATAATGGCTTTCGAGTTTTTTGGCAATTATTCCAAGTACTGTAGTTCTTTGTCCAGTGAGATGTTCAGTGAAATCAGAATGAAGCTATTAACCAGTGTATTGCATTGATGGTATAGTAACATAAAACACTCTGTGCCAATAATAAAACCTGCGACAAGCAATGGTTTCAATAAAATGAAATACCATACTGTTGTTGCGTTTAAATGTTATGTTGGACAAAAGAAACAAGTATAAAATTACAGCAAAACGAAAGCATCTCCTAAATTTTCATATGACTCTCCACATAACAAAATAGCTAGACTTTGAGTCTCGAAGGAAATGAGCCATCGACAGATTGAAGTCTTAATGGGATGGATCTTCATAAGCCAACATTTTAACTAATTCTTTTAAAGTTGCAAGGATCTGATTGCAGACATCTGCATAAAATATTGGATTGGTAATTCCTTTTTTATCCCTCACCTGTGACTTTAAACAAACATTAAGTCATATTGCACAATATAAAGATTTTTATAGCTTAGATTTTTTTTTAATGTCATCCATCCAGCAAATCTGCTTCATTACAACTTAGGCTTCATTTAAAAAAAATCTCCTGCAGCAAATGCTAACTGTATTGTATAAATTACAGAGCGTAAAAAAGTACCCAGTGAAGATGGTGATTTTAGTAGTCAACATTTATAATAGCTAATTTGACAAGGCAATGAGTGGAAGATCTTTGTAGGTGGGTCTTAGGTGAGGGGCAACTAGTGTTCATAATGCTGTAGTGGCACTGGTATTTTTAATAAAGAAATAGTATTAACAACAATTGCAAATCCAGAAAACAATTAATCTGTTGGAATAGCACCCAATCTCTATTTTAGTTGTTTAAGCAACAATATGTCTGTGAAAATACTGCCTAGTTATAATTTAATTAAATACTTATTCATAATTCACATACTTAGCCATAAAAATGTAGAAGAATCTCAGTCATTTTTAGAGGTTTTATAGCTAAGAATGAATAATTCAGCACCATACACTATTGTCTGGGGATGTGAATTCAATGACATTTTTCATAAAATGTTTTAGTAGGATTAGTTACAGAGTTTTTTGTTTATAGTAGGATTAGTTACAGAAAATATTTTGCTGTGTTCCACTGGAGCTTGTAATTATTTAGTATTTTGAGACAAATAGCATTCCTTAATCCGCAGGTGCAGTAAATTGTGTTGGTCATCTCAGACTTAGCATCAAGATAAGGTAAAATACTTCCAAAATGTACATTGCCCTACAGATTTATTCATAACCTTGATGAAACAGAAGCCAAAAACATCATATAACAGAATGTGTTATGGACTGGATAATGTGTCTTGCTTTAAACAATTTAAAATTGTTCCTCTGTTGTTGTAATAGCTTTAAGTTATATTTGTCATAAATAATTGAATTAGAGAAAACACAAGAGTCACATTTATATTATATCTAAGTATTCCTTTAAATAAAATCCAATAAAAACTGATGTACAATAACATTCTGTTCCTTGAAAGGGCAATGCTTTTACTGTAGATTGAGAATTGTGTAAGAGAAAATAGTGATATAATTAGTGGAGTACCACGGGGATCTGCTTTAGGATCACTCCCCTTTCTAATGCATATCAATTATGTAGATTCTGGTTTTGTTAATAAATATTCAGGTTTCAGGTAGTGAGGGGAAAAGTTGCCTTGTATATCACACAACTAATTAGCGGAGACCCTGTTACATATATATAGTTAAAAGTGTATGATAATATTAAGATTACACTGTAAAACCACATTTACAATAGTCTTGAACAGGAAATACTACAATGGGTCCATATCCACGTATTCAAAATCCTTAATGGTATGGACAACAAAAATCCATTGGATTTTTCATAATCAAAATTGAAATAGAAAAATACAAGTAGAAACCATGTGGAAGTACATTATAAAACAAGAAAAGTGGACATGTCTGAATTTTGGAAGATGGCTTCTTTCAAGAAAAGGCTGGATGAGATACTTTAATCAGTTACCTACTACCATGCTTTATGGGATGAATGCCCTCCTCTCATTTGTAAAACTCATTTGTATGTTTTTAATATCTTGTTTTCCTGTGGTATAAAAGGAGGTGTGACATGGAAGATGCATGTAACACCATTGTTAACGTCAGGCAGCTCTTTGAAGACTACATTCAAATTGTTATTGACCTCCACAAATTGGGTTATAGCTAATTGAAATACTAAAAAATAATGCATCCCCTTCCACTGTAAGTTTCATAATTAAAACCAATTAAGGTACTAGTATATGAGCACCCCTACAGCAGTAACTGTATAAGACTCTGTATAAGTCTCAGTGTAAGTGTAACTCACCACTATGTGCTGTGAGACAAGTGGTTTGGGAAGCAACTGTAAAGTCAAAGGCAGAAGTGAAAGATCTCCAATATGCGTTTGCTTGATGTCACCTTCATGAATTTCTGAACTTTAACTTTCTGAGAAAGTTTGCCTAGTGCAACACTTCTAAGATTACAGCACTGTCTTTTGCTTTTTTCCAGCATAACACATTTCCCAATCTGTAAATAATTCTGGTTTCTGATGTTTTTTGTTCCTGCTTCATTTTCGTGCATAAATCTAGAGGTCACTGTACTGTATGTGTAACTAACTACTTTAATAAAGTGCTTTGGCATTTTGACATCTTGGGGGAAGACTGAAATACTACAGTAATTCTATCATTTGAGTTAAAGTATGTAATGTATGAATGTATGTGCCTTGTTGAATACTGTAGTTTGATTATTTTTGTTAAGATTGTCATAAATGAAAGGTTTCTTTATATAAAATATATTCTAACTAAGAATAGATGGTGTACTTCCAAAGTTAATGGGCCAAAACTGTCCAGTCAGTCAAGGTGGTAAAAAATCATTCATTAAATTCCTACCTGTTTAAGTGGTTCCTAATCATATTTTTATCATGCAATAACAGTGGGGAATGTAGCTATTTTTCTCTATGCTTACTATATCATATCTCTTACAGTTACTGTATTTTCAGATTACACATACACATGCATTGTCATACAGATACAGTCAATCAGAACACTCATTAATTCTTATTAGCGTATGTGCGGTACTGTAGTACGGTGTGTGACTCACTGGACAAAGACGATCAAAAGATGGTCCTTGTGGTGTGTATTTTTAAATGCACTTAATATGGAATATTAATATAGAATTATATAACTAAAGAAATTTTGGTAGCTGGAAGTAACAATAGTTTCTAAATGTCATTAATGATATTAATTTAGGGATCTAAATATTATATAGTTATATAGCTGGTAGTAGTACCACTTTCTTTTTATTTTATTATATCTCACAACATGTCACATATTACAATTATATTAATAATGTATTAATATCATGAATGAACATGAATGAGTTAGCAAATGCGAATACTGTCTATGCCAGGAGTAAAGACCAGTGGTACCGGTTTACAACAAGCCTTAAAACGAAATTAGATATATAATCTAGAACAACAAAATGGTATTAAAAAGACCACTGAAACAATAATGAAAAAATGAGACAAGGCTGGGACCCCCTGAGAGTGAAAACTGCTAAAAAGTGGAGGAAGGGTGATAGCTAAAAATAACTGTAGTATAATTACATCTCTGAATGTAACTAAGTATATTAATTTATTAATAATAAAATGGAAACTGAAATGAGAAATACTGTAAATCTATAGCAGGTAGTAGTAGCTCTTTAACTCGGTCGCTGGCTGTGGTTCAGAGTCACGCTTTGGTGGCTCAGTTGCGTTGTCTCCTCGTGATGGGGGGAGGGAGTAGGGGTAGGGGTGGGGACTGCAACTTTATTTTCTCACGCTGGTATGAAGAAGGACAAGCTCATACGGCTTTGGGTTTGCAACCATTTTTATTTTTTTGCAACACTGCTTTGGGGTGTAATGGCAAATGAAACTATTTGTAAATAAAATGACCTCTAGGTCAGCCATCGAGATTACATTTAAATAAATTTATACTGTTACTATGTTCTTTTCAATTTGAAATGTCTAAAATATTTTTTATCATCAAAATCTGAAATAAACTCTTTCTCTAGATAAATATAATTATAATTATGTGTATATTAGCATTTTTATTTATTTTATATGTTACAGTAAATATTCACTTTTTCTTTTGTCAGCCACAGGTTGCTTGCTGGGTTTTAATCTAAAGCACAGTGTTTTTGTTTTTTTCCCACCTTTATGTCTGCTCTATTGTTTTTATGCTGTACAAAAGCTTTTACCCAAATCCCCACACTGTTTGTTTGTTTCTTAAAGTAGCTCGATATCAGTGATAGTCTATCAGTCTCTGTCAACAGACCATAACATGCTCCCATTGCAGTGCACATAACATGATAACCTGCAACAACCATGCTGAGCCCAGTTACTGGAGCAATGCATCTTCATTTAAAAAAAGACAGGAATCATCTCCTACATGGATAAGATCTTAACCACTGTAACTCTGTGTTCCTGCTTAAGGTTATCTATTTGTGTTGTCTTCATGAGAAGGCGAACAGTTTTGTGATTGTGTCTGTCTACAATTACTGTACTTGTTGACTATTGTGGAATTGCAGCCCAAAGCTTAGTCACAAGGCAGACAACAATATTATTTCCAGCAACAAAAATTATTGGTTTAAAAAAATCATTGTGAATCACTGCCAATTTAATTTCTAAGTATTTTTAGAAAGAACACAAAGTTAATAAAATATCAAACAAAATCTAATTTAGAAGTGCCAAACTGTTTTTCCTTTAGAATCAGGTAAGGTCAATCGTGTGACTTGATTTGACCTTGCTTGAGCTCTGTTGCTTTTTCCTGGGGTGTAGTTACATGTGCGCATTCACCTCCCACTAGGAGTGCAAAACATTTCAAAGGGAAACACCTTGCTCCTGCTCAGCAGTGAGCTTCATTATGAAAAGGACTGTGCCCCAGCGCTTGTGGGCTGATGTGTCCGAACGGGCTTCCTGCCACACTATCTATATAAATGACTGCAGCAGCCATGGCAACCAGGGCACAGGAGCACTGGAGAGACGGCTAATGATACATTACAGGAGACAAAATGGAAACTTGAAGCCTTTCTCGTGCCCCCACCCTACCCTCTGCTTTATTCAATTTACACAACTGTCTCCTCATTTCTCCTACCAGCAAAAGTATGTTTTAACACTTAAGCCGACATCCGCTTCAGGCTCCAACATCATGCTTTTTCCAGAACCACAATGTGGTTACAGCTGACCTGTCAAATAGTCATAACCACACTATTGTGCGCAGCTGTCAGACCAAGTCAAACAAACTGTTTTGTGTGTCTAATTTTTCTTTTGGAACCGGCAGTAACCAAATAACAGATAACATTTTGTTATAATAGACAGTAAAAAACCTTACGGATTGTAATTCCTTTTTTACAATGAATACCTAAAACTCATGGTTTTATTACAAACTTTGCTTGTAACTCTTTGTGCTACAGTTGACTGTTTGAAGACTTTTGAGTAAGGAGCCTGAAATTAAGTAATTTGACATTTGTATTCCTTTTCCAAATTTGGATTTAGCTGTAATTCCACTCAGTGGTCCAACCCAATAAATACCTAACAACACAGGTTTGGGGAATAGTGTATTAGGATAGGATCCGAGACTGTGCACACTCTCCTACATTAATATTATGTATTATATGCACTTTGTAATAAAATGTTTTTTTCAAAACATTGAAAATTCAAGCTCTAAACATTTTGATTTTCAGTCTATTATTTTTTTCTTCTTGGTTGAAGTAGAATTTTAGACCAAAAAGACCAACATTCCCAGAATCACAGAATTGAGAATCTGAATATGAATGGTTCTATCTTTCCCAAAAATTAATATCAAAATATATTTTTAAACAGGTTTGAGATCTGGACCTCCTTTATTAATTAAAAAAACATTTTTATCACGTTGGGTAATCAAAGGTTTAACATAATTAACATAATACTATATTTAGTATAATTTTTTAGTGACCCTATATATAAATATATGTACAAACATTGTTTGGTTGGGTTGCGTATGTTTAGTTTTTTTTTCAGATTTAGCTATTATTTTAAACAGTACACAATTGACCTTCCTGTCATTAAAGGAGGTGGAGATTACAGTACTAGACATTCTGTAATCCTATTATTGTGGATGGTCTTTGAAGTATTATCTGATAAAAAAACACTAAACATATTATTGTACTTGCATAATATATTGTAACAACTTGCAATTCGGTAGATTAATTTACACTTAATTAGTTAATGTAACAGAAATTTTAATTAAGTTAGAGACGGAATATGTTTGAACTGTTACATAAAGCCATGTATTTACACCTTGGATTGAATGTTGAAAGCCTTTACATTTATTTTATTTGGTCACTGTCACACATCTAATATTTATTAAAATCCTTTTAAGTTTTGACAGTATTTCATTAAGAGCAGGTCTTAAAGTGTCCTGTATGAAGTGATTCAGGTGAATTTCAATTTTTAAGCTATAAAAGTAAAAATAAAAAAATATATTATTGTTTGCTTGAAAAAAATATAATTGCAACCAAAGAATAAAGAATATATAAAAAACAAATTGTTACAGGAACATTGTCCCAGTTAAATATTCAGAAAGCCACTTCTAAAAGAAAATGCAAGGAATTATGAGATGTATTATAGTTGATAATATCTACAGTACTTGTTTTAGGCTGGTTACATCCTGTCTCCCCTTTTTGAAGTGGTGTAGGAATTGTAATTATATATAGATATAATTATATACAATATAAATGAGGTAAAAGCACAGTTACAATGGAATTCAAATCTAAATCTCTATTTTTGATGCATAGAAAGTCTTGGAAAGCAGAAGCCCAGCAGTGCACTGCAGTTCCAGTACAAGAGAGTTCTGTGATTTCAGATGCTGTACTGCATGTTCTTATTTTGTAAATACATTTTCCCAAGGGAGTAATAATGTCTACAATATTTATATTCCTGCATCACATTCTCTCTCTTTCCCACAAATGCTCTGCAAAAGTATGCTGCAGTTTGGGATTTCTGGCGAGAATTATGCCTTATAACACCTGCAGGAAAACAGTTTTTATTCCTGCACTTTCAAAAGGCCTTGTAGCATGTAAAGAAGACTACATATTCAGGTCCATCTCTGATCAAATACTGTACATTGCAAAACTATTGTGTCTCTAGGGTCAATGATTTATTATTCTGTGCCATTTACAGTGGGAAACAATTTTTCCAGTAATCTTTTTTACAGATCATACATTTGTTCTTCAACTGGTTTCGATTCATATTTGATATGCTTAAAAGTAATTTCCATTCCAAGAGAGTAATTGGACAGTAGATCAGAATTGGTCATCAGAAGAACCCCGTTAGAATCATTTAGTTGCTTAAAGTTCGTTTGACTTAGGATTAGTCAATTTCAGTAACTCTGTAATAACTGAGTAATCAATCGCTCAAATATAGTGACCCAATGTGAGGAAACCAACTTGATTTGTGAATCATTTCTACCACGTTACAATGTAAGTGTTTTGATGGCATAAATCTGTGTGTAATAAAGAGTTAAATAAAGTAAAATACATATTGACTAAATAGAATTGTGACCTTATTCGGAGATAAAAGAGAAAAATAAATGTACAAATTATAGTTCACACTTAAGCCTGAAACCATCCAGTTGTTCGTTTTTTCCTTCATCTTAACAGGCAAACTACATACAGTAGTATCAAACAATTTATATTTTAATATTTTATTAATATATGCATGTACTATAATGATGTATTTATTATATTACACACTGTGAATACCTGCAGACAGATTGTGGCATTTGTGTTTCATCTCATAGTGTGAAATATTACTTCAAGGCTTCATTTTAGACTTTCCAAATGGTGATTCTTGTAGGTATGACAATTTTCCTTGTGTATTATTCCTTTATGAACAATGCCCCAGCATAGGCTACTCGAAATCTCTGTAGGCATCACATTCCCCAGCATAATAAAAGTTCACCAAAGTAGTCTACTCTATTTTGTACTCAGTCCTTAAGTTAATGGCTAAATGTTCTCTAGGATGACATTTATTCTCACTGTATTATAGCTGGCCTAGAAATATAGAAAAAAAGAATTATATAATTTCCTCTCCACAGTTATATTAGATGCTGCAACTGCTGATAATAATAAATACTTCCCGTTTGGATGGTTCTAATTCAACAAGCTGACCTCAGGTTATAAACTATTAAACATAGGATTGATTACTGTACTGAAGATGTCTAGACAATCCCTCTACAGACTTAAATATGTAATAAAAAACAGATCAATTCATGCTCATAAATTTGTTTTTTAGAATGGGGATATGGGAAAAAATGCTAAACAGTGTGATAGCCAAATTTCTCTTCATAATACACATGTGAAAGATATTCACACAGCTTTCATCAGTACTGAGGATCACTCCAGTCCTAACAATGATGTTTCTCCCTGTACAGGCCCTGCCCGTGGGTGGCTCCGCTGGGCCCATGGGGTGCGGATCCAGGCCAGTTTACGGATGGTATTGGACTGGGCAGGGAAGGCAGGACTCGGCCACCTAGCTGAGAAGTTCTTCAGCAAATTCTCCAGTGCTGTGAGCTTGCTGGCCACACCTACCGAACAGCTTGTGCAGGTACAGTATGGTTGACATGCCCAGATTTTTTTCTTAAACCCTTATGAAAGTTCACCACACACCATACCACAAACATTTTTTTTTTACAGAATTTGAGAAGAACAGGTAAATTTACGGAGCAGTTTATTTTATTCTTCCTTTACCTCTCATTATCTTGAATCACCAATTGTGTATTTTTCACATTCATGGCTTTGAAACCAATGACCTCACATAAAGGAGTATAAATGAAGTGCAGACCAACTCTATGGAATGTCATTTGGCATAATCATCTTATGACATTACAGTTTGATCCACATGTTAATTAATTAAAGTTATGTGTACACTTATTAGCCAGTCAGGACTGAGTTAAAGCTATATGTACTGTTGTCATGACACTGCTGTATGTAAGCAGTGAGTCATTGTAACTACGCTAAATGTTTGCCATGAATCAGTGTGATGGAGGGGCTTGTCATTGTGATCAATAATATTGATTTCAATACCAGAATTATAATATTTGGGTCCTTAAGGATATTTTAGCATTTATAACAGACACATGGATTTTTTTGGTTCTTGTATTTGTAATTGTCATTATATTTTCACAAAGACAATGTACTGAAAGTAAATTAAAAATCTCCTCAATGTGAAAGCCTATGATAATATTAATTTTGCACAGAAGATGCAATTAGTTATATGAAAAGCAGGATATAATATTACCTATCAACATTTTATTCTCTTTGGAGCCTTTTGGCAGTATATTCAACAAATAGAGAAATGAATTAATTTTAGGTTTATTAAATGCCTCCTGCTACTTTCTATTCTGCATTCCATCACCATGTGTTCCTTTACTGCAGCCAGAGATTCTCAGGAGGAGTAATTCTTCTTCCAGTTGCTTAATAAAGCTCTCCATGTGTTTGGTCCCCATAAATATGTCTTTTGTTTGCATCTTTATGTCTGTAGATATTCAGTTTTATCAATTCTATTGACTAAAATGGGTGCACATTATTAAAGTGTCAAGAATAAATGCAAAATTATAACTTTAATTTCTGACATGGACAAATTTCATATACCTCCTACACATTTATGGCCCAAAATGCGTTCTATTCCGACCTGCCCACCTTTGAACCACTCATCTTTTGGCACATCACAAGCAGCACATACAGTAGCCATACAGGCGAAGACTGGAGAGGAACCACATTTCTCACCGGCAGCACTGCGAAATTGCAAGTGCCTGGTCAGCCACAGTGGCTCCGTGGCCAACTATCCCTGCCCTACCCTCAGCGGCACAATGGGAATCCAATGGCCATCAGCTGCAGACATGACCCAGGCTCAAACCTGCAACACCTGGATCACAGGATGCTCAACCTGTGCACAGGCGAGCGCCTTTACCGCAGGGTTTATCCTTCGATAACCAGGCAGCTCTTTGTTTTATTCTGTTGAAGTGCACTAGGCAAAATATTTGTGAACAGTTTTAAAACCCAGCATTTAATTCTTTATTGATGGTCTCCATGAATGCCACACACATAATATCCACAGAATAAATAATTCAGCAAAGTGGCTAGGAAGTCCAAGTTCATCTTTAGTTTAGGTTCTGACACTGCTAACTAGCTAATAAAATACTGTGAAAGCAAATCCAATCACGACCCTTATTAGTGAAATATATACTGCAGATCCTGTGAGCTGTAGACAAATGAACATTTTTAGTATTTTGTTATTATTATTATTTTTAATAGCTATCATTTTAAAATTGTTATATTTATAGGTTTATGCATTGTTCTTATAGATACATCATACTGCAGAAATAATGTGAGCTTTAGCGAACATTGTTCTTTTAATGTTTTCAACTTAACATGTTTATCACTTTAATTAAAAAATTATATATAAATGCTAAATAGTTACCTCTTCCATCTTGAAAAAATATAAAAACCACAAAGTAATATCCTGTAGCACAACTGTTGAGAAAAAAACAAGGTTTTTTCTATGAACCGAGTTACAAATTACACACAGACATTGGCAGAACAATTAAGGTTTATGCTTCAGCGGACAATAACTGGGTGTCATTCGGATATTAAATGGTTGCTTGGGTAATATTCCACATGACACTCTACAGTTTAGTTTTGTATATTAATACTAGATATAAATATCTGGTCTCAGGAAATCATCCCACTTCCCATTTAATAATCACTTTCTGCCTGACAGGCACATTAGGAAGGAAATAAAGTAATATTGTATAGTAGTATCACACATGTGTCCTTTGGTGTTGTTTTACATAATAAAGAATTGCTTAATACATTTGAATCAAAGCCTCCAATAAATTAAATTTTGTTTTTAGTTTAAACACTGGTTGTTTTTTTTGTGATTATGAAAGCTTATTTCACCTCCTCACCTGATCTTAGCTTTTTATCAGTCCTGTATTGACTGCTTCATCCAATCTCTCATGGCCTACTTTCTGCACATACTGTAAGGATATGTGCTGCGTAAATATTATGTTAAGGGATAAATAGTATGTTTAACTTCTTTTGCATACCTTCATTATCTGTGGACAAAATCCATCAGATGGCAAAAGGAGTTTCTGTATAAAATGTTTTCAATTATTGAAAGTATTCAATACTTGTTTCAATTATTATTTTTACAAATAGCAGCATTATGTTTTGTTATCAACAAATCTCAGCTGCTAACTAAGGCTGGTCCGGGTTAGTACAGGGATAGAAAACCTCCAAGGAAAACCCGGTTGTGGTTGGTGAATCAGCAGGTGACAGTCATCCATCTGGACCAGAATATCCTAAAAAAAAAGATTCTCTAGGATGTTAACCTGGGAAATTGTGTCGTAAGAGCTGCTGTCTTGATGAGACATTAAACTGCAGTTCTGACTACTTGGTCACTGAAGGTACAATGCTGAGGAACTCTTAATATTAGTAGGAATTTCTATATAATGTTGTTAATTTCCTGCGATGTGGAAGTTTTCTTTATAAAACTTGCTTATAATAAATGATGTCCATATAAGTTTGTGTAAGGCTCAGTAAAACATAAAAATAAAGCTAAAAGCAGATAAATGAAAATGAGAGCTCAGAAGCAGGCTCTTTCCCGGTTTCAACAGATGAGCTGGAAGTCCTTTTGTGCTGAGTACCCTGCTCTCAAACCAGTGCAGCTACACCGCCTGCTGACGCAGTACCAGCTGGCCCCAGAGACCGGCCTCGTGCCCAGCTGGCAGCCCAGCCCAGAAGAGGAAGCTCAGATCTACAGGACAGGTAAAGGGCACCAGCAAGATTGCTTGGTGCTGGCGAATCCCCAGCTGCACAGCAGCTGTCCTGTACTGTGTTCTCTCCCTCCAGGGCTCTCTACTGAAGGTGCACTAAATGAAGTGTCAAACAGAAAGAAAAGAGGTGGAAAAACTGGAAACTTCACATGTGACGTTTCAGTCTATACAATGCTCATTTAGTTTGTTTTAAGTCTTCTAATAAATAAAAAAGAACAGATGTAAAGAGTGAATTGCAGTTTTAATTTTTAATATTGCTCTCATAAGCAATATTTGAACTAATGCATTTTGTATTTAAATCAGCCAAGACTGGTTATTATATCTGAAGTACACAATACTTTTTGTCTTCTAGATACAGACTTATGCTCTGTTTCATATGCCTTGGTTTTCCTTGTACAAAGACCGATTTGTCACATCCATATAACATATTCATACAGGATTACTTCTTCCATTACTTCAGGGGAAAAAGAATGAACTAAGAGATTTGCTGTTCACAAATTACCATTTTCATTTGCTGCTTTTCAGTGGGCCTTTTAGAGAGTTTTGAAAACCATCCTCCCATTGTGCTGCCCAGCAGTGGCTTTAAAGTGGACCTGGAGTGCGATGCAGTGGACAACAACATATACAGGCAGCTTCTCTATGTGCGCCACTTCCTGTGGGGCTTGAGAACCAAGTCCCCCTCCACAAATGGCAGCTCAGATTCACAGGAAATTCAGGTGACATCAGCCTTCATTCTCCTACTGTTTGCATTTTGGATTGTTTACCTGTAAAATTAAGGATAACTATAGGATAGTTATTTTAAAAAGGACTATAGTACATTTACCTCAATCTGAGAGAGTATCAGTGATGTACAGATGCAGCCATTCAAAACAAGCGGGGTATGCTGCAGTATAACACGGTGGGCGTGTCGCAGTACACCACATCATACTGTATGCAAATTAGATTGTTAATAGTATCTGGAATCACCTTGTAAAACCGCCAGGTGGAGCTAATAAAGGTTAACCTCTCCTGTACAGCATTTGAGCTGTCACCAGAAAACGTCTGTAAGAATTTATTTGATTTTCTTATGTACGGTATTTTGTTCATATGATTGTCACTCTATCCTGCATTAGCAGACTTACTGTATGGATTCCAGGATTCCTACAGTTGCATATTTATTTTCTTTGCCATATAACTTTAATTCAAGGAAATCTAAGCAGAAATTGAGCATCTTACTCATAAACACTGAAATAAAACAAGGGATAGAACAGACAATAGTGTTAACTTCCTTAATTAAATTCCCCTTCTTAAAAAACATTTTTTGGCTGAAATCGTTTTGAGTTCCCCCATTGCCTCCCAGTCTGTTTGGGAACTCTAAATCACTTAACCACAGCTCATCTGCTGTAATCCAGGCCATGTGCTGGAAGCAGATGTAGAGGTTTAGCAGTAGTTATAATCCCACAGATAAAAGGAACCCTTAGCTCACAGCTACAGCACATTGGTAGACATGAAAATCATTCCTAATCTTATTAAGGGTTTAAGATGTCTAATGAAGCAATATGCCTTCTGGTATTATGATAGGTTTACATGTGCTTTTTATTTTCTAAGTGTTTTATCTAGGGACTTTATATTTAAAGTATATATGTAATTTACATATTTTTTGCTTACCCATAGTGGATACAGTACATAATATTTATTCCACTATTGTTTTTAATTTCCCCTGAAGGGCTTTATTGACCTTTTGTGTTCAGGAAGGTACAGCAAGCAAATAACCAACATACAAAATGGCCATGCTGTCATTTTTGCACAGCCAAAGTTTCCTCACTGTACTTATTTTTCTAAGATTTAAGATTTTTTCTAAGATGAGTGCAATCTATGACTATCTCAGTCTCTAGAATCCTTTCTTGCACCTTGATATGCTTTGTTCAGTTCATTTGAAACACATACATTTAACTTGTCACTACTGTTGGACCTGTTAAAGCTTCTCCTTATTCTGTGGTCTGACACCAGACTTGCTCTCATAATGGATTACTGGTGCTTTGTTACAGCGTGTGTTCTGGTCTTTCTGCTTCCAGAGAGAGCTGCCACTTTCTCACAGCAGCCCAAGGCAAATGTCCCCTGGGGTACAAATCTCGTCTACTGAGCCCCACAGGCCTGGTACTCACATGGATCCAGAAGTGGATGGGAGAGTTTCGGTGGTGTCCAACCTGAGCAGCAGCTCCAGGGAAGCCCACTGTCAAGAGAAACTGAAAGAGAAACTTCATCAGGTGCAGTTGCAGTCCAGTCTGAGGAGAAACGGCTCATTCCGGGAGAGCATGCAGCCCCTCGACCCTTCCTGCCTGCTAACCCCTCCCAACACTCCTCTGTACCCTGACCTCGGCGAGCCTGACAAACCACAGGCCAAAGGCTGCAGTAGGACCCCCCTTGACCTAAAAAAAGGAGTCAATGGCTTCATTGCCAGTGGAATGGAAGGTGAGTTCACAGGGATGTGCGGATGTAACCTTTCAACCTTCATGTTGAAATTAATTAAATCGACAGACCATGGAAAATATCATTAGTACCAGTCTGTGGAATATTTCAGATTTATCAACTTTTCTCTTACATAATAAAGATTGTTTTGTTCTACTACTATGGAAACATGAGGTTTGTTGTTCAAACTACAGAGATGTTAAGATGTTGCAAAGTATCCCATATACTTGTTAGTGTAACTAATTTAACAACATAAGTTCATCTTCCCATTTAAAGTATTTTAATTTTTTTCCATCAAATTTTATTCATAGAGTGATGTGATGTGAAGAATGACTCTTCTATATACTTTGATTATATTCTCTTCTGGTTCTGCACTCCTGGAAGAAAATAAGATTTCAAAATATAAATCATTCAGTTTACATCGTGGAAGCCTGAAATCAAATATTCAGTTGCATTTGACCAAATCCCCTCCTCTTTGATGATCAACTGTGTCCTATTTGTCAAATTATATCTTCAGCCCCAAGTGCATATACTGTAGCTGCTTCCTCTGTGCCAAACATGAACCCAATGCCCCCTTCTCCAGCCATTAGGACTCTCAGCCACCTACCTTTTCTTAGATTTAAAACTCATATTTGAAGGGTCAACCTACATGTTCATGTTACAATAGATATTTACAGCAAAGGAACAAGTAATAGGTTTATTCTGTGCTGAAAAAAAGAAGAAAGAAAACACAAAGTTTGGCCGTGGGTCTTTCTTCAGGTGTGAAGATGGCTCCATGGCCGAAACGTTGTGTTTTCTTTCTTCTTTTTTTCAGCATGGAATAAACCTATTACTTGTTCCTTTGCAGCCTACGCATGCTGACGCAGCTACCCATCTGAACTACTATAGATATTTACAGGTCAGTTATAATTGTTATCAGTAACAGAATGTATTTCTAACATAAACAACAAAAACTTGAAGGAGTGCATTTAAGGTTGCCTGCTTTCCCCAGATTGGCTGGACACTAAAAAAAATTGCATGGGATTTTCAACATGGACTTAGAGACAAATTAACAATAATTGATTGCTACTTTTTGCTTTTAAATGTTCTCTGATCTTCGTTTGGTAGAATTGCAATACAATAATGGTAACAATAAACTTTATTTTGTATAGCACCTTTATTATTTTAGAGAAAAATGTCTTGACTATTTTGTATTTGTACTATTTGTTTTGTTTCTTTATTATTGTAAAGTAACCTACATTAGGAATGTGCTTTTGGCCTGTTTATTATTACATTGTCCTACCTCTCACAGATTCTACAAGATATTAATAACTCTCTACAGCCCTTCAGACAATCTGATCATCTGAATCTGAATTTCTTTTACTTTGGAGAATGGACTTTAGTGCAAGCACATGAAGGCTCAAAGTATCTGGTTAGGGCCAGTTGGCAACTAAAGCTTGGCACACATACAGAAGCAGTACTTTTTACTTCTTTAAAAGACTACTCAGCTAACTTTACTTCACTGCTGAAGCTCTGCATTAAAGTATGGGTAACTGTGGCAGTAGGAGGCAAGCACAGTCTACTGTGTGTTTGTATCTCATGCAGGCAACATGAGTGGGGTCTTTGACTTCCCGACCCCAGTCTCCTCCAGTCACAGCTCAGCTGCTGACGATTTCTGTTACGTGTTTATAGTGGAACTGGACAAAGGACCCTTTGGACTGGGCATGGGACTGATTGATGGGCTGGTAAGTTCACAGTCAACTTTTGTTTAAATCATGACAGACTGTTATGGCTAGGCTGCATTCCATTATTTCCAAGTAGAGTGCCTTGCAAACGTATTCAGATCCATCCCATGGTGTCCCATTTTGTGACATTGCAACTTATGTTAAGTATGCTCATATTTTTACAAACTTAATAAAACTTATTTAACAAATTTGGCATTAGGTCAAATTCTAATTTCACATTTATGCTCTCCTACATATAAATACCTGGCTATCCACAATTCTGCACGCATCTTTTCTATCATTCTGCAATTCAGTCTCAGTGGAGACAGTTGTCTCTAACACTCTGCATTGCTCTCATGTCAACCAGGGATGGAGTTACTCACTCACATCTTCTCAAACAGCAGCTCTTCAACATCACATTTCCCTTTGGAAAACAACTGTCTCTGAACCTGCCAAGTTGTCTGCTCTTTTATTTCATTTCTGCTCATTTCATCAACCCTTCCTGGATCTGCAATTAATGTGGTCACTTTGTTTCCTTTTCCCTCTGTCTCTTTTCTCCCAATTCCACTTATACCATTCTCTCCATCCCCCCTTCTTTCTATTTCTGGTTAAGCGTCCAACCCAATGTATGTATGGCACTAGGCTATTTTTGTTTTGTCTCCCTTTTCTCCAGTGCCTATTTTCTGGTCATTGCCCTGGCTGCTATGGTGATGGGTTCTATTCCCTTTATCACCCCTTTTATTCCCCCCTTTGCTCCTTTCTCCATTGGTGTCCATCTGGTGTGGTGTCAGCCATCTTTCCTCTGAAAACTCTTCTACCTGCGAATGTAACTGATAGATCCTCTTCTTTTTGGAGTTCTGCTTGGTATCCATTCTCACCCATTCAGTTCTAGAAAACTTCAGCTAACAGTACTTCTCTACCTTTTCCTTCCTGCTTCTTTGTCAGTATAGTTCAAGTTACTTCAGTTCATGGTCTATCTAGGATTTGGTGGCTGTACTGCCACCTGTTTCTTGACTTGCATTCCATCACCTGTATCATATATGCTTTTTATGCACTTCATTTTCCACTAGTATTCTTCTGAAAAATTCCATAGCCAAATATTTTTTATGTAACAAAGCTTAAACCCTTCATTATAAATGCTATCATTTTCTCAGGCAGATGATCAAATGCTGATGTATTGTGCTTCCCTTTTATTTGTGGTGGCTCAATTCTTCATTGCTAGAATTGTACCAACCTACTGAGACATTTTAATCAATATTTAAATGCTCAGACTGAATACTGCTAATGGTAAGATTGATCTTACATTAAATGTACAGACTTAACAGTATCAGAAAAAATAAATAAGGAAAAAAATTAATGTTGACTGCATTAGTATTCAGATCTGTGAACTGATTATTTGGTGGAAGCCCCTTTGCCAATATTACAGTCACCAGTGTTTTTGGTTTCACAACAGCATGGAGCAATTATTTGCCATTTATCTTGGTGGATTTGCTCAGTAGAAGGCAGGACTTTAGGCCACTCAAGAAGATTCACTTTCTTATTCTTAAGCAACTACAGTGGAAAAGAAAAGCTTTGGAATTGTGCTTTTAACCATTGTCTTGCAGATAAATAATTTTTTGTCCCAGTTCTAGGACTGAAGCATGTTTTCGCTTAAGAATTGCCAGTATTTTGCTCTATCTATGCTACAATCAGTCTTGACAAGATTCCCAGTCCTTTCTGATGAGAAGCAGAACTAAAATATAATGCTGCCACCAACATGCATGAGAGCAGGGGCAGTGACTGTGTTGGGTTTTCTTCAGATGTAAGATGTTTAGAAAAAAAAACTCAAATTTTGTCTTCGATGTCGAATAAACTTTCACTTAGGTGCTTTGGGGTTTTCAGGAAATTGCTGATCAACTATTGGATTGGCTATTGGATTTCATAAAGGTTTATTTACTCTAAAATAATTTAAACCACTATTAACTGTGCAGAGGCCACTAATTGTGTGGCTCATTACAGTAATTCTTTAACTGAAAGTTTAGGTTTAGCACAGCAAGGGGTTTGAATACTTACAGTATGCAATCATGATCTTTCCATTTTTCTCTCAATTTATTTTTTGTTATGAGGATGTGGAATGGATTATGTATAGTATATAACAAATAGTACTTCAAGGTATAACTGCAAACTGTAAAGCAACTAAATATGATTTAGCCTAAAGATTCTGAATACTTTTGGAAGGCACTGTATAGGCACTAATTAATATGACTAATCTTAATGTTTATGATTCTGTTAAACTAATATAAAGTTTTTCTGTTGCTCATATTTACGAACCAGCATTTTAGACCAGCTATCTTGTATAGCAATAATAAGAGCATGTTGGGAAGTACCTTGTAATGTCTAGAGGGACTTCTTATTAAATATACCCTAAGATCAGTTGTCTTTCTGGAGAAAAAGCCCAGTACTGTGTTTTGTCCTTTATGGTTTGTGATGACTGGCAAATTATTTATACCACCATTATAGCTCAACAATTTTACTTGGAACAAAGAAGATGGAGCACGTCCAGTTTCAAAAGATGCAAAGCCATCAAATCCTATAAAGACTTAAATATGTAAATGAAAGAGCAGTGAAGGCTTGAGGGCCTTTGGTTTATAAAGGAATATCAGTATTATAATATTGATTCTTCGGGCCTTGGAGGCGTTTCTTCTCTATTCTAATGCTAACCTACAAACAGCAAGATTCAGTCAAGCAAAATAACTTTGGACACCAGAAGAGCAGCAAAGAACCTCAATTTAAGATCAGTTTAATAAATGAAACCATAATCAGTTCTTGGGCTATAAAACAAAAGATAACATTGAAGCCACATGCCCTTCTGCATTGAATTATATTTTTTTAATAGGATAAACTGAGCACTGTAACCGCATGACTCCTTAAGAATTACAATGCCCAACTAGGAATAAGTGGCTCGCTTCTGACACGGATACATACTGTGATGTATTCTACTAGATGCATAAATTCTTTTATTTTGTGGTTTTTATAAAAAAACAATTACACAAAAATGAGCAGAGACTTCTGTATGGATGATTTTTTCCCATTATTTAGCATACTCCACTCAATTCCCCTGGAATCTACATCAGAACCCTGATTCCTGATGGACCGGCCGCAGCTGATGGACGACTTAGTATCGGGGACAGAATCCTGGCTGTGAACGGAACTAGCCTCATTGGAGCAGATTATCAGAGGTCACTTATTTCTTAATCTGAAGACATGGTGCTTAAGAACTCATCTGTTAGGGGTTCAGTCTAAGAATTGGTATCCGCCAGATAGCTGTTTCTTTTAATTCAAATTTATTGTGATGCTACCACTGCTCCTTACTTTCAGACTGACACAGAGCACCTTTATATGAAATGTAAAATTAAAAAAGAATACCTGTATTGCACGCTTCTGTCCAGATTCTTGTTTGTTCGGTATCAAAGCCAAGGAAATAGATTGATCTGACACATGCTTTCATTTCTTCACAGTGCGGTAGACCTCATCAGACTAGGAGGCGGCAGACTGCGTTTTCTTGTTGCGAAGTCAGATCTGGACATCTCTCAGAAAATCAGTGCTTCATCATGTTGAAAACCAGTGACACGCTCCGTATCTCCTCTCCTCACCTCACACCAGAGAACAGTTAAAAAGGTACCAAGGTGCCCTGGCAAAGTGCTGCTCCCAAACACAATAAGGCAGTACTTTATTTTTATAGAATCACAGAAGGCTACTTAAAACCTATATAATGTAATGCAGGACTGTGCTGTACACATTTGGAAACTGTAATGTGAATTTGGTGCTGATTATTTGATGCTGGAGTATTACATCACAAAAAAAGTGATGTATAAAAAGTTGTGTTGTAAAGCCAGTGCAAGAACATCTACTGTCTTCCAGGCTCACAACCTAAACTGCATCACAGACCAGGGCTGGAGTTCAAAAGTCATGATTGAAAACACTGAAATACATTTGCAAGATATAAATATATATTCACAAAATAAATCTGAATTTAGACTTGTGGCAAGAAGAGCTGTTTAATATCTGCACAGGCAACTTCATTTGCAAGCAGCACATTTTATAACATACAATATCATTCAAGGACACTTAAACAATGTACTGTACACACAAATGTTGGCACAATAAATGCAAGAATAAACATAAACGTTATCAAAATAGTAAATATTTACTATTTCTGTTAGTGATGGATATGTATTTCACAATCAATAAACACATGGAATTAATGCAACTCCATGTGGATCCCTGATGAAATGTAATTTGTTTTATTGACATCACTTTTACAAATAACTCATGGCTTGGTAGTAAATGTGTATAGGAAAATAAAGTAATTCCTTCAAAATAATATTTTTTGTCTAGCATTCATTTTGACAACTTTATGTATTAAACATTTATGGCTGTAGCCAATGGGAAAGAAACAGAGAAATGAACAAATTATATGGACCTGTTTTACACCAATAAGACCACAGAGCACATTTTAAAGAGAAAATGTTTATTCTAGTTTCTCTTTATAGCAATAATTCCACAATACTTCATCCAGCTTATTTAACAATATCCACTTCACTACAATGTCATTACCTTTCTTCTTACAGATCTGTTTCAAAACTTAATGTCTGTTTGATGTACTGCAATCGGAAGTAAAAATCCTACTGGCTCATGATTTCTGGTTCTTGGGATCCTCGATACTAATGTTACAAACCATATCCTTCAGCCTTAATGAGGTGTGTGCGGTCAGACGAGGCAGTCTTGTTATGCAGGAAGGAGGTCATTGCCCTTCTGCAGCACCTCACTCAGGGCTCGCATGGCAAGGGGCAGGCAAGTGTTGGTGTCCCTGTGCCACCGAGGGCTGGTCCCCTGTTGCGACGGTGCCAGGACAAACTGGGCTACACTGGGCAGCTTGAGCAGGTTGATCAGTTCATTGGCCCTTGTGAGGATTTCCTCAATATCCTCCTCACTGTAGCAGGAGGTGACTGGAGCACTGCATGCAAAGGATCGCATCTTGGAAAGGAACAAGGACACCCTAGTGGGAAAAAAGAAAAAAAACAGCCACCACATATTTTTCAGACACAACTATTACTAATTCGCAGATATTATTCAAAGCCTATACACAAGTTAAGAACTTCTTTGGATGCAATCACTTATCTTTGTCTGACAAAATGGGAATCTGGGTTTTAATTACTATACTAGGAACTCCCATTCTTTGACAGTAAAGTCACTGTATATTACTTAAGTGAAAATGTTATATTTAGTGAATCTCATATAATTACATATAATTAATGTCAGTTTCGTGCATGCTTATTCAACACGTAGTTTTTAATTTTAGAAAGTTATTAACATTTCATCAATCGTTAATGACTACACAGCTCGTAATATAAGAAAAAGTGTGGCACTCATTAGGCATAAAACACAACTTAACTACTTTCCATTTTAAGTAAAGAACCACTGTGAAGAAAGAATCAGTCCTGTCCTGTACAGTCCTGAATGGTACAAAATTACTATATATAAAATGGCAGGTTTTCATTAAATCATCAATTACAGTAGCTTTTTTCAGACAAATATTTGTATGCAATTCCTGGCATTATCAGATGAAGTAAAAAACTGGTCCAGTTTTTTTGATGAATAACTACAAATGTTCACACACCTTATTATTATAATCACTTTAGTCACATTACTACAGGAAAAAAACTGTAACAATAATAAACAAGAATATACACTACAAACAAGCTTTATGACTGTTACAATTATTTTGCTGCACAGTAATTAAACAACTGTGCTCAATTCATCACAGGTGTAATACTTTAAAAGTTAAAGTAGTATAAAAATAAATCATTAAGTTGTAGAATTCACAGTGGAACCTGGTTAGGCATGCCACTGTGAAGGAAATAGCAACTTTGAACCTTTTAAAGAGCTCAGTGAGAAAATGTCAACAATATCCCATTCACTTCACAAAAGGGGCTTGTATAAAACCAAAAAACATCTCAGATCAGGCTTGGGGTTGGAAAACAAAGCACCTAACTGATAATACAAGCAGGTGTCAAAATGTTTTGCAGTCAGAAGAGAAAACTAAGGATTTTTAGTCTAAATGCAAAGAGTTACATCTGACACAACCCCAACACAGTGCATCACTCAGTCAACACCATCCCTACCGTCAATAATGGTAGTGGCAGCATTATGATATAGATAGTTCTCATTGTTGTGGCCATTCTTAGAACTAATCCTGCTTCAGATATAAAACTGGAACACAACTTAGAATAGCTTAAGAATAAGGAAGTGAATGTGCTTGAGTCACTCAAAGTTCTGTCCAAAGTTGAGCCCTATTGAGAATGTAGAAAAACTGGAAAACTGCTGTCTATGATTGATCCACTAGCATCTTGAGAGAGTGGTAATAAGTATGTATTAAGTGTCTATTTATTTATGTTTTTTTTGTAGAAATGGAAATAAAAATACAATTTGAAAAAACTTCAACTTGAAAAAATTTGAACTTGAACAACTCTCCCAAAATCAGTGTGCAAATGTTGCACTAAGCCAGTATAAAAATTGGTACGGATAATCCTAAAAACAATGGCTGCAATTTCTACAAAAATATTATATAATATTGAGTTCAGGGCTGAGAATACTTAACATACTCAACATACTTATTTTTTTTCTCTAGGTTTAGCTGACATTTACTTTACCTTATCTTACTCTTAGACATCTTTGGTTTGGGTAATTGGATTTTGAATAAAACATACAAAATGTGTGCACAACATGGTGTAATTTCACAATTACCATAGGAAAGGTCTGAGTACTGTTGCAAAACACTAAAGATTTCTATACACTAAGATTTTACGAATACATTAAAATAAATTAAATCTCATCTCAATCAACATGGATTTCAGACTAGGTTTTTTTAAGCACTCAATTGGAGGCCTATAAAACTCCCCACCTAAGAGTTCTTGCCATAACTACATCCTTTTAGTTTACCTGGGAATGAGGTCTTGGCTTCGTGATGCCAGCTTGGCCAAGGTGGACATCAGCATGGTGATGACTTTTGGGGAGAACCTAGGGGGACTGGCAGACTGGCGCACCTGTGTGATCTCAAACAGCACAGCCTCCAGGGTCTCGAAGAACAGGGTTATCCGCTCCACAGTGCACCGCTTGTCATAAGAGACGGAAAGGTACTCACCAATGGCCCAGACCTACAGAAAACAAGGACAAAAAAAATGAAATGCCTGCTGCTAACTCGGCACAAATTCAGTGACATAAGCATCATCCAGTCCCAGGTGGGTGTTTTGCTTCATTACTTATCTCTTTGGTCTCACAGCTGAAATCACAGATGTATGACAAATGTTTTCCAAGTTCAGCAGTTTCTTTCAAGATTTTGTCTACACTATATATGTAACCTGAGGCCGCCTAAGAACACGGTGGCTCGACGCCATCAAAACAGACACTGGCTTAGGTATAACAGCTGACAGGGAAAGTCCAAGACCGGAAAGTGTGGCGAGAGATGGCCTATAGAATCGTCGAGAGTCGGATCTGACTGACCGGATAACATCATCATATATGTAACCAGAAGAATCATTTTAGATTCAAAAGACCATTTTAAAAGTGTCCATGTTGGTTAGTTTACTAATTAACTTGGATTTTAATAACTGACACTTCACCTGACACTTCTTCCTAGAGTGTCTTTTTCACTTAAGTGCAATTTTTTTCTTACCACATGGGTGTAGAGGTTTTCCTTGCTGGATATATTCCCTGTGGTACCTGTGAAGTCCAGTAGCTCCTTAGACCACTCCACAATAAGAGACGGTTGCAGTTTACACAGCACTAAGAAGTGGGAGCTAAACACCCTAAAAGAGGGAAAAGAGAAAGAGTGACAACAGATCACAAGATATTGACTAAAAATAACAAATGCAACCAAAGACGTTTATATATTCACACTTCTATACTGCATATCAGGTATCTCATTTGAGAATATTAGAAATAAAATGGATCAATAAACTTTTTCTAGTCATCATCATCAAAACATCCATCAATTACCACTGTACTTTCTTTTATTAAATCCCACTCCTCACCTCTGTACTTCAGTCTTGTAGTTTTTTATGTTGAACAACAGCCCGCTTCTCTCCAGTAAGACTAGGACAAGTTGGTTGATTAACTTTTTGTTGCCAAACTGAATAGGAAGTAAAATGAGGCCAGTTAGCATATATGTGATGTCAACAATGTTGAACAAGGAAGTCTCTCAACCAGTTAACACAAAGCATCATTCAAGTAAACTTGAAAATAAAAATGTTCTGGTGAAATGTAAAAATAATGTCCTTAGGCAGACTTTGTAACTTGCAAGTGCACAGTGTTAATTCGACTGAAAGAACGGGTTGATGAGTGTATAAGAATCCATCTACACTGACATGCCTGGCATCTCAACATAGCTCAGAACAAGCTTGTACCACTGTTTATCAAATAAACTCTGGCCCATTAGTTGTAAGAACACTGCCGTTTGCCAGCTAGTGCTTCTGGAAAACACGTTAGGATGTTATTTGTTACCAATACAACACAAAGCAGAAAGGAACTTTTACATGCTGTATTTCTTTCTAAATGAGACATCAGCTTTGACAAGAGCAATATACCCATTTCACAGTCTTCAGCAATCATATACCTGTTTCACAGTTTTCAGCAAAACTGTCAGGTATTAGTAAAACAAATATACCCTGTAAGCTTTAATGATGAGGGAGGAATATTTTATGTTTTTAGCAGAACCCCCTAATTTATTTGAAATTTCTAAAAAAATAATTTATATGTGTAGTACATATAATTTCTAGAATGTGCATCTCCCTTTTTTCATAAAGTATAAGAAGGCCATGTGCTTTATACACCACAACACATGAAAGACATTAAACTTTAAAGCCAAGTGCCTCATTGAATGCTTAGTACATATATGTGGAATGTGTTACCTGAGCAACAATGTTGAAGAAGATGTTCAATAGCACAGGAACTGTTTGAGCACACTGCACAACGCGTGGGCAGTCAGCCACATCGGACAGTATCTCATGAAGCCCATTTAATCTCCGGAAAAAAAAACAATTGATTCATTAGTCTAATAAAAAAATTAAACTCATATAAAATTGTTCAGCTTTGTGCCTTTGAAAGGTAGTATACATCACCCTATAAATGTCTTGTCCACCTAACAGAGCTACTTCCTCTTTCAAGCTTCACTTTACATGTCAAGTTGCCTAAGCAGAAATCACTGCCTCAGCCTTTAACAAACATGAAAATTTACATTAATAGAGACACATGAGCTGACACTTTGCTATAGTTCAGATAAGGGCAGGCCCTTTACAGCTGACAGATGCTACCACAACAGTATAATATAAAGCCTAATGTTCCAGCCAAGATCTGACTCCACTGATTTATGAAGCGATAGGGGTCAGTGAGCTTCCCTATAATTTTGTACAAATGCAGAGCAATGGCTCAACAATACAGTTCACCTAATAATGAAAATGATATTTTAAACAGAGATCACAGCCAAATTGCATAGGAACAGTTTAATTGATAATACAGAATTTATTTCTCATGTGATATGGGGCGGAGCGGTGGCTCTGTGGCTAAGGATCTGCGCCTGTGGCTGGAAGATTGCCGGTTCAAATCTGCAGCCGGCAGAGGAATCCTACTCCGTTTGGCTCCTGAGCAAGGCCCTTAACCCCAACTGCTCCAGGGGCGCTGTACAATGGCAGACCCTGTGCTCTGACCCCAGGCTCTCTCCCTATCTGTGTGTCTGTGTGTCTCATGGAGAGCAAGCTGGGGTATGTGAAAAGATCATTCCTAATGCAAGAAATTGTAAAGGGTTAATAAAGTAATGTTATATATATATAGGCAACAAAGCCATAATAAGTGATTCTGTTTTGCTGGTCAGGAGCACAAATGCAATTTTCCAAATTAACAGTAAGAACTGAATTGTACCCTAAGATTTTCCAATACTCACAACATGGTTAGTTCAATATTACTACAACTATTACTGTTGCAGAGTTCAAGTCAGCCTTTACTGAGATCGGTCTTGATGGAGTACCTGTCAATGGTATCTCCAGTCCCAGCCTCTGTCCTCAGGATGTACAGAAACATGCCCCTGTAGCTGGGGTGTCGGAATGCCTCCATTGAACTGGATACCTTCACACTCTGATCCAGAAAGAACTTGTCTGACCTTGGAGACAATGGTGACCTGTGAATCACACAGAATATTACCTACTAGCAAACGTAGAATACAACTCTTGTTTTTATTAAATAAGGAGCTGTTCTATCCACCTCTGAGTAGATTAGCTTATTTACAAAATGTACTAAGGATCAGAGCATTTGATATGTGTAACCAACTATAACAAAAATTTAAACAACAGCTATAAAAGCACTGCATAACTCTTGACTGTGTATTTCAGTTGTTTCTGGCTTTAAATCAGAGATGCCCTCTAGTGGCCAGCCTGCCATGACTGCAAATCATCTGTACATTTCCAACTAAACTAAACGGTCAATACAAATTGTGAGATAACTTTCAGAGCCACTGCAATGAGTTGTCACTGTTGGGACTGCTGGGTCCTTCGGATACATGATTTATCAGCAGCACGTCAACATGGCAGCTGCTGCAGCTGACAGATATCTGAAATGCTTCAGACACAGAGCTGGAATAATTCAAAACCACCTTCTGCAGCCCACCTCAGTCTTTAATGAATGTGCTGGCTTCACCTTCGCACTGCTTGCAATAAAAAAGAAAAATAAACACACCCCCTGGAGACAGGGTGAGCCGACGGGAATGTGACTGCAGCAATTATTTACAGGTAAAGTGCAACGTGTCTGCACCAAACATCAATAGTTTTCATTGCTTTCATGGGTTTTTTTTGCCTTTGTTTTGAAATTCAATTATTTTTTTCCTCTCCAGAGGACAGACTGTATTGGCATGGCAGGGTCTTCATCATTCTTTTCAGTCCAAGTCAATCAATACTGAAGATTCACTATGGGTGTACACTGAGGGCAAAAATCTACTTTTGGCACTATGCTTGAATTTTCAACCAATGCTTAAACTTGAAACAAAAAATGAAGGAACATGCTAAGAGTAGCTGATCCTTCCAGAGAAGCAATGTAGTTCTCATCATAATTCCAAGTGTTCAAAGTTCAAATTACCGATTATATTTGATCAATTCAAAACTGGTCATGGTGGTGTAACTAAAAAAAGAAGGTACATACCAAACAGTCCAATGGTCTGTCATTTTGTTACCATGCTCTGTTCTTTGTCATTGACAATAGGTCTCTTATAGGTGTATAAATACATACACACCAAGTAGATCACTGCAAATTATTTTATGAGTTGTAAATGATATGTACTGCTGTAAAGTGCACCCATGACAGAGTAAGAACTGCAGCACCTGAGCTGTATATCAATCGCTGCAGTCAGGCAGGGCAGGTCCAGCAGAGAATGGAGAATCTCAATGGCATTCTCAGGAACAAGCAGGGAAGGAAGCAGCTCAACATATTCTGAGATGAGAGCAGGGCTGTTCCAGGCAAGAAACTAGTTAAAGAAAAGCAGAAAAATGTTAATTTACAAAGTTGCATCTTTACTAAGCATGCATTTTGTACTAATTATTAATATGCTATGTTTGTATTTAAAATCTGATGTGATTCTAGGATAATAGTTTAATGACAGTACTTATTTGATAATTTTATCATTTATGTTATACAACATTTATCCTATCAGATGGTAGATAATAATAATTAAAAATTAAATTATTCATAAGATAAAATACCTGATTTCTACTATTTAGTATTTCTAGGTGACAAAACTGTAAATTTAGTCAGCAACTATAAATTTAATTGTGATTTTCTGCAGCATATACTAAGCTGTACATATACAGTATAAAGAATACTGCTAGATGCAATTCATAAAGAATTGCACAGACCATTCCCAGACTTTTGGACCTGTCCATTGATTGGTCTGTTGTACACAAAAGTAACATATTGTTCTGCATGTTTGCACCACAGTTTCTGATGTCCACCATGATGGTCGACACAATTCAAAAATGTGTCATGGCTAAAATACTTGACTCCACTGTTGGTGACTCCACTACAAGTGAGGTGATCTTCTCCAAGCTGTACCACACTTATGGCACAGAAGTGTTATTCTGTTGGCATATTGGCCCCCTCTTCTAGATTTGAATTAGGCTTGACAATTAACAGATTAAATCAACTCATCGCCTCTGCCCAATCAATCAAACTTCCCAGTAATAAGGGTATTTAGGACTTAGGTAACAATTAAAGTCACTTGAATGTATCATGATCAGTCGTCATAATTTACCAGAAAATGTATTCAATATAGAAATCCCCTATACTTACATTTACCTTAAACATACATGCATAAATAGAGCGAACATTTTATGTATATGAAGTATATATATATATGAGTATATAATAACTGGTTGAAAGTATAGGAAAAATAGATTCTACATTTAACCACTGCTTCTGCCATTCTGGGGAACTGGAGAGAGGAGAAAAAAAGGACATTTTTGTGCATTGGAAAGCTACAATGGGTGTAATACTAGATTTAATTTCATGTAGCTCAGTTTTTTTGCCTCCCTACATAGTGCTATAATGCCAAGGCAATTCCAAGTATATACTATGTCAATCATTAACTGTAAGGCTATCACTACGTGAGAAATCAAAAATTGATGTAACGTAATTGTATATTTTTATTCATAATGTAAAGCATGCTTGGGTTTGGAAACGAGTTTTATAAATAAAAGTTGTTATTAATAATAATAAGTCAGTTTTCAAACATCTCCACTGAAGTTCAAAGGTGTCTATGATTAAACATGTGAAGCACAAGGATTCTCCAGCAGAAGCCCTAATAATTATACAGGTGCCAGAGAGCTCACCTTAAAGAGGTTTGGGAAGCTCTGCCTGTACAGGGCCACACTCTCGCTGAGTACAGTTACATTGGCTCTGCAGAACTGAGTGAATTCAAAAGCCAGCATGGGCTCCTGGAACTGCTCACTGGGGACAATGGAGAAGAGCTCCCGGAATACAGCCTCAGAGTCCACTGCTGCCGTCTCACCTGACAACACATCATTCATTACCATAGAGCACAGCATTTCACTCTCTTATAGGCAAAAGGCAGTTTTTCTTAACTCAACTAACCTGATCAAATTGAGCACACAATTTCAACAGTATTCTATTACTTGTAATACAGATATCCACAACTTATGTTACTTACAGGACACTAGCAATCTGATTCTTTAGCAATGAAAAGAGGGAATATATAAGTATTTTTTGTCATTGATTATTTATGGTTTACCTTCTTTTAAAGCTATAAAATTAACTTTCATTAAACCATGTACACTGCCTGTATAATACACTGATGTATATTATTAAGGAAAAGAGCTGAGATATTTTGCCTAAGTAACACAGAGATCTTTTTCTTCACTTCAAACTCTGGTTTTTGTGTTAAAATGATCAAGTGCATAATAAATGAAGGGTCTGGTAAAACACCAGCTGCTGAAGCAAGATTATTTAGCTTGCCAACACCAGAATCTGATGCCTTTTTATGTTCCTGTGCACTTTCAGCAATAAAACAGTTCCTTCAAACAACAAAGCAACAACATCCAACTTACAGCATAATTAACAGATTTAGCGTCTAACAATTCTTAAAAAAGAAAACGTAAGGGTTTCAGGAGCACGAAATCTCTGTTGCTGATTTATAGATGACTTACTGTGGTTGAGATAGAACTGTGCAATTGGCAGCAGAACTCGAGAATAAGCCAGGTCTCTTCTAACCCGGCCATAGAGAGCTTTGACATAAGGAAAGGCCCGGTACACGAACGAGGGGTCCTCTCTGCAGATGATATCCATCACTGTCACTGCTTCGATCATGCACTGCATGCAAAGGAGAAACACCACACCTGCTCAACCCAGTGAAACATTCACACAGATCACTCATTGTTGACCGTGGGGCAGTTATTTCAGCACCTTAAAAACAGCATGGGCTAACAGATTAAATTATGCACTGTTTTGAGAATTCTTTTACTTTTTAAGTTGCATTCTTTTGCAATACAATTACAATTGTTTCTATGTAAATAATTTATACTGCATAAGTCAGTTTAGAAGAAAGTGCCTGTCAAACACATTATATATTATTATTATTAGTAGTAGTATTAATAATAATTGATTTAATCTTAGTATGCGCTGAAATAAAGTAACTGCTGGCTACGAGTCTAAAACTAATTAACAGCACAACAGCGTTGCCCTTATCTTAGGGTAGTGAAAGTCATTATCAACCAAATCAATCTAAGATAAGTCTGGTTCTTGTAATTCAATTAAATGTGCATCAAGAGAGATTGTTTTTCTGTAGTTTTCCATGTATGAAGGTGTTTGGTTTATATTAGTTTATTTTATTTCAGCCTCCCGAATTCTAGCTTCTGAGAAGGAAGCAGTCTGACTTGTTTTTAAGACGCTGTTCTGACAAACTGCAGCCACAAAGGATAGGAATGCCAAAGTTTTTAGACCAATATACGCATCTGTCATTCTGATAAAATGCTAAGCAGAGAAGGCATGGACAATTGTTTACCTCACAATATAATCCTCTGAAGTATGACAGATTACATTTTAACAATTAAGGATGGCATTAAAAGATTATCACCATCACTTACATGAGGAATGTTTATTCATTTTTAATTTAACTGAATGCAAAATAAAATGGCTGTTTTGTAAGAAACCAGATTTAAGACCTCAAGCAACACTGCACAGCCAGTTTGGACCCTGAGATTCATATCCCCAAAGAAGTATGGAAATTATGTATTTCATGCTTGTGTACGTACAGCTTTTTGCAGCTCTGTATCGGACTTCTTCAGGGCCTCTGAGAAAAAGAAGCAAATGCATTAAAACTGAAAGCCAAAAATCTTCCCAAAGTGAGCCGCAGCAATAAGTACCTAATAGGAATATTCAGTGGTAAACAATTTTAATTATCATCTACTTAAAGACTATAGACCGGCACGTTAAAAGGCAAACTCAAAGATATGTGTAAATGTCACCAGCACTCACTCCTGTCGCTCTGCTCGATGAGTCGGTGGCAGTACTCGAAGGCTTTCTCTCTCAGTCTTTCTTTAGGAAGAAGCAGGCGGCTGGCAGTAGAGCTAGTGGAGATTATGGACACGACAGAGCCATCCACTTCAGACCGGTCATCTGCATCACATGCAACAAGACACAGTGTTACCTATGGCACTTCTAACCACGCAAGTCAAAGTGTACAACATGTAGCATAGAAAACGCAGAAAGCATTTTCAAGATCTTTGCAATGAGGGAGCAGTCAATTTCAAAATTGATCAAGTGTCCTAACTGTTGCAACTTACATGTGTGTGCACAAGGATAGGTCATATATGGAAAAATAGTTCCAAGTTCAATTTAGCAAGTGCATAGAGAAACACTAGGGAAAAAAAAACATCTTTTTATAATTAATGTAGCATGTAAATAACTGTGCCATTGGGCAGGTAAGCATTTTTTTAACACTTGATTCAAACATTGAAAATGTAATCAACCTTTAGCACAATATGTAAATATGTTCAAATGTCAATATCAGGGGCAGCACATGCAAAATAGAAGAACAGGAAAAATATTTGGAATTAATGTGAAGCACAACATAAATCTTGCTTCAAAATGTTTGTCTAAACTTTACACACACTTACCGTGATGTACTGATTCTGAGAACAACACTTTCTTATGCTGTGCTGTTAAAAACGAAATTTCATTTTCATTAGCACAAACCTCCACTTCTTTCTGTTCAAACTCACATATGAGTGTGCAGTCTACAGATGAAAAAAAGGCATGGTTTCTGTCGTAACTTAGTCTTGATATATAAATTATTACCAAGAACATACTGAATGTTGACAACCCTAGGTGAAAGTACAGAATCTGACATTAGTACATAACACAAACACCATGATTCAGGGTTGCACAACCCCCTTTTAACCAGACTTCTCAATCTATTTCTGTCAATTCACAAATTTCATCATATTTCACCAAGTTCTCTCTTTCTGCAAAGAGTTCGGGGTGGGGGTTCAGAGATTAGATTGAGATTAGAAGTAAAATATAAAACATGGTATTGTATTTTCCATGCCAGTGCACTCAGAATGTAGTTCTACGCAGGTCTTTTTGATTTCTATACACTACCTGCATCTGCATTTCCACTCCCATCACTGTTGTAGCACAGTAGCCACTTCCTAATCATAGAGAAGGCATACATGCTCATCCATTGGTCCTCTGTGTAGTTCTGACCCACACACAGTACAGTAAAGAAGTCTGCTGCCACTTCGCCATCCACCTCTGTGACTGGAGCAGGCTGGCTCAAGAGACACAGACAAAGGGTTACCTCCTGCAGTACAACAGTCTTGTGTTCTAATGTCTTTTGTGTGTGCTGTCTAAATATCAACCCAAAGTAAATGATAATTTATATGGTATTATAAAACTGACTTATCCCATCAACTAGCTTACTTAATAGATACATTTGTAGACCATTTCAGAGATTCAATTATAATTCGCTTCTGTAAGTATACTGTATATATATATTTTAGACAGCATTTAGTCCTATGAGAACACAAATCTCACGACTCTCTATTGTGAATCATATTCTTAACAAATATAAAAATAAATTCAAATATTACATTTTTTTGATTTTATTATAAACATTAAGTCATAGAAATATTCTGCCTTGCCTCCGACTAACCATCATCCTAACCCTCTACAAAAAAAACTAACTACAGCTAAAAACCTTCCCTCATGCAAATAATTCATACTACTGTAGGTTCAATGGAGCAGCAGACATTTGGCACTGGATGCAAGGGTCTTACTCTACCTGTCGGTTTCTCGGGCCAGTAAAGAAACCTCCGGAATACAAGAACGCCCCTTGCTGAATGTTGGTATACCAGAGCCAGTCTACAAGCTTCTTGCTGACCAGGTTGATATGATCTGCATTCACAACATTACAATCAGTGTCTCAAAAGCCATAGATGTATGGCACTCTATAAACATATTGAACAACTAAAATGTAAACTCAGAGCTTTAAACAGATTGGAATGGAATACAGAATGATTAAACATGGAGGGATTCCCTGTATTACAAGGCTAAGGTGTTTTTTGTAAATCCAGTATTCTGAACATAAGTGGGGATCTTTCTTGAAACTGTCACAAAATGCATTACATGCTGATTTATGGCAATTAAAATCATTATTACGTATTCTAAAAAACACATATCTGAAAAGTAAAGGAGAGCAATCTCATTTCTGGTTTCTTGCCTTTTACAATACCATGCAACCTGACAGCATTCCTAACAGTTTTTCTAAATCTCTGTGTTAATAAATAAGAAATCACAAAAGAAAGAGTAATGCACACCTTCTGTCAAGATCTCGGGTAAAAGGCTCATGGCTTTTGAGAGGATGGGAAGCAGATGGCGTGAAACCTGACCTTCAGGCTGTCGTGGCTCTAGACACCTCAGAAGGCGGTGTAATAAAGTACACACCTCTTCCTTTTTCCTAGCCTGTTGGTGAAAGACAAATTAAATTTGTCCTTTTAATCACATGATATCAAACAACACTAAGTAATCAAGTTTATCTGACAGCCTGTCTAAACTTACCTGTGTCAGTGTCACTGTGGCTACGTAGCTGACTGTCCTTCCATCTTGAAAGTCCACAGAGAGACCTTCCACATCAAAGGGCAGACTCTCTCTAAGAATTGCAGAGGACAGGGCCTGGAGCTGCTCTGAGGTGCTTGGAGAGCACAGCAGTGACTGTAGTTTCTCAAGAACATCCTGAGGGAGACTACATTCATAAAGACAAAAAAACAACTACTGAAACTGAAGGGTTTTCTTTCTAAGTAACACTTGATGTACCAGTTCACACCATTGCTTCCTTGCAGTGCTGGGGCCCTGGGTTCAATTCTAGACCTCGGGTGCTAGAATGTTCTTCCCATGTTCTCATGGGTTTCTTCCAGGTGCTCCAGTTTCCTTCCACAGTCCAGAAAGAATGGCGGTAGATTAACTGGCTTCTGGAAATATTGGCCCTAAGTGAGAGTGTGTGCATGTCTGTGTTTGTGTCTTCCTGCAATGGACTGGCATCCTGTCCAGGGGGGGCACCCTGACTTGCACCCATTTTGCTTGCCAGGATAGGCACCGGCTCCCCAACAACCCTGTGTTGGAATAAGCGATTGTAAAATGCATGGATATTGTATGGAGAAAATGTATTGAAGGAAATTATTAAATCATGCCAGCAGCTATATCAACGCAACGCACAACTGGCAACCCACTGAAGGTAAGCAGGTGTGAGCCTGGCCAGTACTTGAAAGGGAGACCTCCTGGGAAGAACTAAGGTTGCTGCTGAAAGAGGTGTTAGTGGGGCCTCTAGGGGGCGCTCAAGTCACAGTGTGTGTGGGTTCTCTTGCCCCAGTGCAGACACTTTACTGTAAAAAGGCACTTTTTATGAGGCACGTCCTTTGGATGAGACGTAAACCTGAGGTCCCCACTTTCTCCCAGAAAACTCACATGGCGTTTCTCGAAAAGAGTACAGGTGTACCATTGGCCTTTATTGATCATGGCCTCATAATAATCCCTATTTATTAATTGGCTTCATCACCCTGTTCTCCTCCCCACTTATAGCTGATGTGTTGTGAGTGTACTGGCGCACTATGGCTGCCGTCGCATCATCCAGGTAGGGCTGCACATTGCTTGTGGTGGAGGGGAGTCCCTATTACATGTAAAGCGCTTTGCGTGGACTGTCCAGAAAACCACTGTATAAGAGTAAGAACAGACACCAGTCCAACACAGGCCACCTGGACACAAACAAGTACACATGGACAATTCACATGAATACAAAACAACCCAGACTACATTACATAGTCAGCACTCCCTGGGACAGTGGAAAAACATCATGGTACCTGGAGACCAAAAGGAGACCGTAGATTTGAACCCAGGACCTAAGAACTTTAAAGCAAAAGAACTAAATCCAACACCATCATGATGCTCAACATTCATGCTGGGATTTTTTCACAAACTACTTAAAATAAATACTATAAAATGACAATTCCGTCTCTCTTGGAACAAATTAATGACAAAACGTATTTAAATGTGTGGTTTATACTTACGTCCTGCCATATTTTGTTGAAGAGACAATAAGGTAGAGTCTCTGCAGAGAATCAATGGTTTCAAGTCCATAGTCTTTGTTATGAAGGAGTCTGGAGATACGGGAGTAGAATTTCTGCAGTTCTTCCTCCCGGATATCTCTGTACAAAACAACTGTAAGAACTGACTGAGATATTCAAACATTACTGATATATCTATTTATACACTAAAGACATTTCAATGGACAATATATAATTTTAACAAGTACTGTAACACTATTCAACTCAAAAGGGAAAGCAGTTGGACATTGCTCTGCTTCTAGAAGCCATTACCTTTCACATTAACCAGACTCTAATAAAAATAAATAAACCAAGAACTTACAACAACCTTCATCACATTGTTACACACTTTTTTAAATTATGGGAATGGGATCAAAACTACAGTGAAATGGCAGAGGACAGAATGATATTTTAACAAAGAAACTTTTTGTTTTTTAAAAAGTACCAGTCAGCTCCAAAAATGCGCACATTATCCAGCTAACTCAGAGCAACATACAGTCAAGCAATTTGAAAATATTACACAACCGTCTTCATGGGTTCCAAAACGGAAGAAAAAAAAATCCAAACTGTCCAGCTGATGTCAGCATAATGCTATGTTACATGATCTCGTACATGTTACAATAATATTCCTTTTGGTTTTAACATTTACATTACATTTTACTTTTAACTAGTAACTAAGAAACCAGTACCGAGATACAGTTGACTTTTTAAGGCCTATGTCTGAATTTGAACAAACTGTCATTCTAAATTCAACTGTCAATTGTGAACTGTCAAGGAACTGCTTAAAACAAGGTTTTCAAAATCACAATAATCCAACCTCCAAAATCGAATCGTAGGCTGGATTATTCAAATACTGCTGTTCTAGAATCAGTTACAGCAAAGAGAAACCAGATATACTGAGTGTAAAGAATGTTTTAAATTTACACTGACAGGTTAAAACTGTTTTTAGAACTACTGTAAAACCATAGATGACAGTACTGCCCAAAATAATTTATATAGTTTCGATATATTTATCACTATATAATCCATAATTCATCTGAACATAATTAGGGTAATAAGGTTATATTTTACCGTTGCTATTATTTTCCAATAATGTTTTTTCAAGCCTGGACAATAAAGAAAATAATAGACTGAACGACAAATTAATGCCCTACCAATGCTCAAAACGTTTGCTCAGTATTTACTACAGAAAAATTAGACATTTCACAACATCCCAAAATATATAGTTGCAATTTGGGTTATGTTCTGAATTAAAACACGTTAATGTAAATTTGGACTATTAAACCACCAAAAAGTGATCAAAACTGGACAGTAGAGCCATAAAAACATTATTTACTGTATTATAATGTATGCGCCTAAAAAAGAGACGCCAACAACATGTTTTAAGTTTCACAAATTAACAAGAGTAGAAATGCAAAACCAAAATGGTGAACACAATTACATCAAAGAAATTAGTATTTCCTCATTTTCTGAATTAACAGGAAAATATGTTTATTTAATTGATTTTATTGAAAGGCCACTTTAATCGTCGTTGTGTTTATGCTGTAATTCTGAATCACGTAATTTAATCTGGTGTTTCTTTAAACCAATCTTTCCGAATTATTGTGCTGTAAAAATGCTTCTCTATCACAGAACGGGTTAATTAAAATTCCTTCGTAATTATCAGAACCGAAGGAATCGCCTCAACAGTCTTTATCATTCCCAGGTGTTTTAAGAAAAAAAAATTAAATACACCACCAGTCTTCTCTGGTTTTACCCATTTCCCAAATTAAAGTAGCTAAATTACTAAATTTTCTAACTTTTTGGGTGCATTATAAAACAATTTAGAAAGTCTTTGACGTTTACCTCGCCTGCTTGATCAAACTCTCAGTTCCAGACGCGTACATAGTTGAAAATGTGCTCTTTGTTCATCAGAGTATGTTTTACAATCATCAAAACAAATTGAGCTTCTTCATTTCTTCTTCCCTGTAATGTTTTTACTAAATGAAAACTAGTCCGTCGCTTACAATTGTCCTCATGGAAAATACAATTGAAAAATTGTAGTTCCGCGCTGTGCTTCATTCTGTTCATTTCCGCCTTCATGTACTTTACAGAACTTTATGGGCTAGGATTTCGTTATAAATTTAAAATTTCGGTGTACTTAGTGTACCCCTGCTCTTTTCGAGAAACACCCTGGGACCACAAAGAGTCGGGACCTCAGTTTTACGTCTCATCATAAGGACGGCGATTTATCACAGCAGTGTCCCCGTTACTATACTGGGTCATTAGGACCCACACAGACCGCAGGGTGAGCGTCCCCTACTGGCCCCACTAACACCTCTTCCTGCAGCAACCTTAGTTTTTCCCAGTAGGTCTCACATCCAGGTACTGGCTAGGCTCACACCTGCTGAGCTTTAGTGGGTCATTAAAATTCCCAGGGTGTTTCTCGAAAAGAGTAGGGGTGTATCATGGCCTCATAGATTACCCCATCTATGAATTGGCTTCATTACTATGCTCTCCTCCCCACTGATAGCTGATGTGTGGTGAGCATTCTGGTGCACTATGGCTGCTGTCGCATCATCCAGGCGGGGGCTGCACATTGGTGGTGGTGGAGGGGAGTCCCCATTACCTGTAAAGCGCTTTGAGTGGAGTGTCCAGAAAAGCGCTTTATAAGTGTAAGCAATTATTATTTAAAGCTTTGATGTTCTTTATCCAAAGGGTTGTGGGAGTCTGGAACAAGGTACCTAGCCATGTTGTCAAAACAAATCCCTGACTTCTTTTTAGAAATGTATTGATGTGATATTTGGATCAATTAGTGTTTAGAAACTTAATAAACTAGTAAGGAATGTAACAGTACTTTGAAACAATACTATAGCATCAGACTGTATTCCTACCTGCTATAAAGATCATGAAAAATACATAAGAAACCTCATCTATATATTTTACATATTAAGTTGTTCTGAACTAAGAAAAGTTTATTTCAATTCATACAAATTGTTGATGATTCTTATTAGTGCATACACAATTCACATATACTAATATCTTGCTTATGAATTTATATCAATGTCTTATGATAGGAATGAATCCTGCTCTCAAGTTTAAATTAACACCATAAGCACAAAAGGCTTGAGGCTTATTCTCTAAGTTTCTGTTATTGTATAACGCATGAAATGTGGAAATAGTATAACGGAGAAATTGTGAAGGGAAGACTTGGCTGTCCTCCATGTTTCCAATGCTGACAGAAAATGGCTACTGGCTACTGCTGCAAAGTGGCTGCACTGGGAATGTGGTTTTAATTTGTGTAACATGTTTCATCCTGAGCAGATAATCTTACACTTGTTTGTCATCAGGACAGCACACTAAAAAAGTAACACACAATGTTGGAACCACTCCTATAGGAAACACACTGGATTTAAATTCTCTTTAATGTATCATTTTTCAAGGGTTATAGAAATTGATCTCTCCCAATGCTCAACACGTCCTTCGGTGTACACATCTCCTTTTTGAACATTTTTTTTTGCGTCTTGATAATATGGATAACATGAACAGGGAAAAGAAATCAGACAGCAAACCAAAAAGAAATAATCACAACAGTTATGAACACCCTCTTGCAGCTCTAAAATGTAACCATCTCTAGAACATTACATTGTTTGAAAAGTTGTATTCTAAAATCAGTCTCCTGTTACAAGGAAGCACAGCTCCTCAATCTCTTTGAGACACAGTGAGCATTTCAAAGTGACATATCTAGCAGCACTGGGTCTTGATTTTGTTAGTGGAGGATCAGAACTGACAGATTTGTGCCCATTAAAACTAAATCCACTGCGAAACCTTCATGTTGAAGAACTGCACTTTGAAGTGTATTTTATGTATTACACAACACAATGGGTTCTTCATGAGCTCGGATTTGGAGCAGAATTAACACCTTGTAGCCTAACAATACCAGTTTTCAGAAGCCTAGCTGGGAAGTAACGGGCTGGGATACCTCCAAGGAAAACCAGGTTGTTGCTGCCAGTGGTGTTGGTGAACTCTGTGATGCTCTTCTCTCTGTACAATAATTTCAAAACAACTTCTTACTTCTCAATCTGATAAGTGGTGTAGTGGGGTTTTTGACACTTTAATAAACTGTTATGCATCATCCAGGACAGTGCCGCATACCAGTGGCAGATGAAGTGCATCTTATCCTGTACTCCTATATGTGAAGCTCGTTGGGATGACATGCACTAAACAAATGCAACATATTATTAATTCAACCCCTATCTATCCACTGGTAAATTTAGTAAATGTCAATTAAGCAAAATGAAATAACATCGACATCAAGAGGCAAATGGGATATTTCAGGTATATTTGTGAAAATGTGAGGATATTTCAGGTATATGTGTGATTTCCTGCACTAAAACAAATAATAAAGGTTATGCACAATAGGGGATAACATTGGCCTATGGACAGTCCGTTCCAATTTCTTCCATTTTTCTTTCCCTGTCTTGAATACAGATTTATTCAGCACTTGCATTGCAAAGCACCATTTTAAGCTTGTTTTATCTGAAAGCAGTAGTACATAAAGATCTAGTATCTTAACTAGATTAACACCCCTAATCTGGCAGATATATCTTGTTGAAGTTTTCAATGCTGCACTGCACTTTAAAAGGGCACAGTATCACTTATGTTATGAAATACCTTTCTTTAGGTGGCCTGTCTCAGTCACTTCTTGGAATTCCACATAGACATTATATTTAACCATTTCAAATTCACACCCCATATTACTGTTTTTCATATTTTCATGGCAAGAGGAGGTTACACTGCTATTCCTGATACTTGCAGAGAACATTTTCTGTAAAAATAAAATGCAAATAAACCCCAAAAAAAGACCATGGTCATAAACTACATTTTTCATAATGTGGATTAAAACAAGCTGGCAATAAACTCACAAAATACTGTTTTACTACTGCACAGAAATTACAAATGTAACATTTATGAGTCAGTTTATAAAAACTACTGCTGTCTAGTTATGAAAATAAAAACAGTTGTTCTGGTGAAACCTCTCCCCATTATGACATACTGAGAGCACTAACAAAAACATTAAAAACAGGATATAAAACAAAACACTTCAGAGATAATCAGGAACAGAGTTTAAAAGACCAAAAAGGTGTGCACTGAATGGACGTTTCTCACATCATAGACTCCAATAAAGGGACAACTATAGGACAAACGTTTGGATGAACAACAATCGAAATAAGAACAGCTTTTCCAGTATCTTATTGACCACATTCCCAGCCAATTCCACACCGGCTGGATTCCATTTTTTTTAATAAATAGTTGCCAATAAAATTCAAACGGCTGTTTATCTAGTCTTGTATCTATGAGTTCAATTCTGCTGGAACTAATGAGTGACAAGTTACGTGAACGAGTACATTCTGAAACACGTATAGAAGGAAGTGAATGACCACGCTTTAACTTATTTTACTCATCACTTTCATTGTATTATTATAATTATGTTTATTTCGGAAATACTTTCTGCTGGTTAAATATGGTTAAAAAACACAGTGTTTTTTCTGAACTCAGTGGAAAACAGAAAGCTTTAGCACCACTGCCATCAATGTGTGCTTCCACTGAGGTGCGAAAAGGGGAGAAAAATATAACTACAGGCTGGACATGACTACTATTACAAGAAACATTTCCACATCCTTAGGACTGCAAATGATCTAAACATTATTAAGTATTGATAAGAGCAGATGTTTGTGTTATAATGTTTTAAACCACTTGAGTTCTATTTCATTTTTGGGAAAACCTATATTCTATGTGTGAGGTAACAAGGGGCTTGACAAAAGATCTGGTTTGGGGATCCCCATAGCAGGAACCTCCCCCAATTTGGTATACATATTCCCTAGTAAGTCAGAAATTTGCCAAGCCCAGACGAGACACTGAACCATGCAACACTAGCTGTAGTATTGCAGCATTCAACACCGCAAGTGCACAATGTACTGGAGCTGTCACAAAACTAAACTGGCATCCACCTGCATCCTGGTGCACTGAAATCATTCACAAGAAGATTCTGAGCTTGCACTTCACTGAATTTTCCTGAATATGCAGTCCTGTTAGTCCTGAATCCTAATTCATTTTTAACTTTTAACAACAGTGTGTTTGCTGAAGCAGGATGAGGAATCTGTCCACAGCTAAACTGAAAAGCAATTAAAACAAAGACTAAAACCTCACATGCTCCAGGACAAACGGTGTCAATGAAAGTCATTTTATTGGTGATGAACTATATAACTATAACTATATAAGGTTGTCTTAACCTGACGGGCCTCTCTGGCACAACAGTTATATAAGATTTATAAAACAATGCCCCTCAGGCTGCAAAGTTGTAACAAAAAAATGATATCAATTCTCCTGAGAGATTAAAAAGGGGAACCAACTGGTCCAAGCTGGAGAAAGTAACACAATATGTCACTACAAAGGCAAATACATTCACATACATTTGTATATGTTTTAAGTTATTCATTCGTACACTTTTCTGTAGTGACCGGAAAAATGCTTTCATACATTTTATGGCAAAACTTAAGCAAAATAGGACTTGGCTAGTGTAAAAAGAAATATCTTCATTAATAACTTAGGCATACAGGAATTCTCATTCAAGGAGGACACATAAATTATCCAAAAAGAAGGAAAAGTGAAGTGAAAATAGACTCAGTAGACCACAAGCATAGATTATCAATCTAATTGAATATGACTGTAATTAACAAATTCGGAGTTTAAAAGGCATAGTTTCCCATGTGCCTTAACTGGCAATTGTGATCATTCAGAGCAGTTGAGTCTCCTAAACATTGGTGCTTGAAGCCTTGTCAAACAACCTCAACTAAGATTTTCCAAGCCAAGAGCACAAGAAACCCAGGTCCACCAGAGCTGGCCAGCATACAAGGCATGACAGTGCTCTCTGGGAGAACCGTGCATGCAGATCTTATCTTCTTGTCCTGCTAGTTAGAAACTTATTGTCATGGATTGAGCTGATCAGTGGGGACAGTAAATGAAAAATAACTGCCAATTCCAAATTTTAAAAGAACAAAAATTATGTTTATTGCAAATTCCTACATGGCGTAGGATTTTACTCTTGATACAATTTACAGTTATTTTACTGATATATATGCATTTACCTGATACCGTGAGCTTTCAACATTAAAATTGTGCATGCAAAAATAGGAGTAGATTTTATTAATTGAATGGGAAAATTCAAAAGTCCGCGAGTCCCTGAAAGTATAACACCTTTTAAAATAAAATACTGCTCCATGTAACACTAAATTATAAACCAGAGTACTACAAAATTTCATCCTTGGTGTAAATTTCTCCTTGAGGTGAGATTAAGTAAAGGTTTAAGGCACTTGTCTGGAGGGGAAAAATTATTTAAAAGAATTGTTTTGGCAAAAGTATTTCTTTAAAAATATTTTGAAAAGGGTTTCATCTTTAAACAATACTAACAGCTAGGCATTAAGGGTTTACTGTTTCTGACATGTTTCGGTTGCATTCAGACTCACTTTGTTACTGAACCCAGGTAAGCACAGAAACTGCAAATACCATTAACATAGGTATATTCTTGCTTTTTTTCCCCCAAACACCTTTTAATACCGGTGTCAAATTCAGGAATTTTTTCCCAGCTGCACACATCCCACTACTAAAAGATCTGTTACCTGACAGGTTTAACATTTTACATGTCAGCAGGGTTATTTTTCACTGTGCCTTATTTGTAGGGCCCTTCGTTTTTGTTTGTTGTTCAAAGTGGTGCAAATCTCCACATTTTTAGGTAAATACTGAGGTTCATTTTGGTGGTGAGAGAGGAATCAAATTCACAAAGGTCCAGAATGTACAAGAAGTGTAATGCTCTGGTAACATTATTGAAAATGGTTTGCTATAGAATCAACACAGAGGTGCTGTAATGTTTCTGAAAACATTGCTATACTCCTAACCCTTTGATTAAAAAAAGATTTTTCTCCTTCTAAAGAAACAGTTTAATGCTGGCAACTTATATCAGCCCATTTAAATACTCTTTCAAGTACTTAGGGCGATTATTTTGCTTAAGCTACACCCATTACAATATTTAAGTACATACATGTACCAGTCTTAGAAATCCGTGCCAAATGCCTGATACAGAGGATTTCAGTGTGTGAATTCTGAGGCCTCAGTAGCACAGGCTGGAAATAGTTTTTGAAAAGTGTCTTTTCCAGAGCTCCTGCAATCTTGGACGTAGTCAAAGTCAGAAAATACTCCATGAACAAGATGAATCACCGAGGACATGAGAAACAGCAGGGCTCAAATTTGGAAAGCAGACACAGAATACCAAAGAAGTGAAGACACCAATATCTGCCATCGTGGAATGGCATTTGAGGCTACACTTGAGATTTAAATAGCACAACAGCTTCCCAGAATGCTCATTCAATATGAAAACCTCCAGGGAAGTACTGCAATTGACAGTGGCTTAAACTTCAAAACTTCTTTTGACAGATTTTGAAACCATGTACTGTGTGTGTATTGTGTCTGCATATTTTCCATTATATTAACTTTTATAGTAATATTTCACTTTTAATACTAACTATTTTAAATGTTGCTTATACTGTAGACATTTATTAGCATAATGTACTGTATGTAAAGTCAGGTATTTTCTTAAACTGAATGAATGAATCAAAATTCAGGTGAAAACCCAGGATAAATTAATCAATCTGGAATTTTTTGGAAATGCTTCTGTATAAACCAAAAACAAAGGGCCCTGTTTGCAAGTACTTCATAAAAAAGTAAAGAGCCAAAAACAAGAACTATATATAGTTTAAAACATACAAATATTTACAGAACAGGAAATTTACCAAACTTCCTGCAGAATCATTGACATTCACTTGTGGTTTATTCAGTATCTTTTCTGAGGGATGCAGGTCAGCTGCCTATTGTTTTTTACACCCACTACTTCATAATGATGGCAATCAAAGCACATCAAGTTGCCAGCCTCTAAATTAATTTCCTGTAAAAAAAGCAATTTTCTCACTTTTCCAATGAACCACACTAACTCTGAGACTTCCACAGAGCCCAGCAATCAAGTTTCCCATCAACAGGAGAAATGTTCAGACTCCCTGGCAACTGATTCTGTCAAAAAATTCAAGCTGCTTCTTCTGTTTTGTTGCTAAAGATGCAGCATTCCTTTCCATGCCAATTAATCACTATGTTTATTCTAATAGCTGGGCATTCCTGCAATATCCGGGATAGACAATGCTGCAGATTCCCTGTTAATGGTTTTGGGACTATATTCTACCCCAGCATCTGTTCTTTACACTTTGACCAGAATACAAACCATCTTTCTTGTTGTGCTCAACCTGTTATAATCTATGTTCTTTTGTATCTACAATAACGTCAACAGAAGGGCAAAGTGGAAATAAAGAACCACTAAAGTAAAAAAAACAAACTTTTTACATTCAACATGAATTTATGTTTGCACTACATGTTAGACTGACAAATCACAAACTGTGACAATTGTAAGTGATATTTAAAAATGCATTTATATAGGCTTGACAATGGTATGTTTGCTAAGAAATGCTGTTTACCACATTAAGCAGCTTCTGCTACCCAGGGCTCTGGCAAACAATAGACTAGCTTCAATTCTCTGTCCATTAAATTTGTAAAGATGTTATTTTTGTGTAAGAAGCATGCCTGACAACCCAGGTGCTCACTTTAAATAATAAAATGGGACATAAATAGCTATTCACAATACTCGCACATAAAGGTGAGACAATACTTTGATTCTCCTGCCTCCTAAAACAGATAATGCTTTTAATTATAAAAAGTAAGTGATGTCAAAGAACAACGATAGCTGCATTCATTTTGGTCCCACCCTGACCCGACTTAAATTACATACCACTACTTCAAGGGTACCTATTAAAAAGCAACATTAATGCTCTTACTCATGAGAACTTATACAGAATTGTGTTCCTCTCCCTTTCTGAAGGACTAATTATATTAAAAACCCTCCAGGTCAAAAAACTAGCAGGAACACTATTTAAGGCTTAATGGACAAATACATTTTTCTGCTCATTACAAAGCAAAAACCCATTTCCCAAAAATTATACAATCAATTGTCTGTATTTGAATAGCCTGTTCCTCCCTCTTTGACATTTAAAGTACACAACAAGTGATGGTTTTCTCCATTCATTTGGCACCTTGGGCTTTTGTTACTGTGGAACACACTAAAAGATCAAAGCCATTTCCGGTCTTATCCTCTTATGCTGCCCTTCACTCGGTGGCCTCCTGGGGCTGTGGTGTCACGGCCACAATGACAGGCTGAGGAACAGGGGCTGCACTGTCCTCTTCCACCTTAGGCCTCTTAGCCTCAGGCTCGCCTAGTGCAGAAGCTGGCTGCTCTGCCTCAGCGCTTGGTGGCCTGTTGACCACAACAGGTGTGGAGGTGCTGGCCTGCGCTGCCAAGATCTGAAGTGGGTTAGTGATGGCTGAAAAACAAAGAAAAAACACAATAGATAAAGTCATCAGATCAATTAGCTACTTGCAAGCAAACAAACTAGAGGGGCCAAAAGCCCTCCTCTCATTTATAATTTTTAAGCATAAAACTCTTAGCCAAACATTTTTGAATGAATTTTAGAATTTAATCTCCAGGACATTAAATATTTTTAACACAATCAAAAAGAAGCAGCTAGAATATGGATGGATGGACAGACTAGTTTGATAACGTCCTTAAGTTTAATGCACTCTAGTGTTTACAAAACACCAGAGTGCATCGTCTCAATGTGGACCACGAAACATTAAAATTATAATCACCAATCAATAAATTAGTGACTAACTGTTTCAAATGAAGGTGCAGTTTACATATTATAAATGAGTTACATATTATAAATGAGTTATAAATGATGACTATGAGTTACATTTTCTATATTAATTGTGTATGGGTTTAAAAAGACGGTTTTCGGATCAAGATGAAAGACTCCAACGGTACCGTAAGCACTGCCGGAGATGCTGGACATGGGGAGAGCATGCTTCCCATTCTGGGTCACGGGTCGGACGGGCAGCTGGTGCTGGCCCAGGGAGATGGGCGCTGCCTGCTGCACAATGGCAAAGGTCTGCCCGCCGCCAGCCTGGCTGACATGGCTGCTCACTGCCTGGATCACTCTGCTGGCAGTGGGGATGGACGTATAGGTCACCACAGGCTTCTCCTCACCCCCAGCCCCTACAATAGACAGCACTCAGTCACACGGCCATCTTCTCCGGGACCGATCCTGTCCACTCACCAAACCTTCTGAGTAGCTATGGATTTTGATTTTCTTCGGCTTCTTCAAAGCCACTCTGCCTCTGAGCTGGGTCACAGCTGATTTACTGTTATAGTCTACCACCATCATGTTAATATCGCGCCCTTATTTAGGACTGGCACCGAAAGTTTTATTTCTAAGGTGCTGTGATCTATGGGGCTTACAACTGCACATTAGAGAGGGAAAACAACTGTGCTGACAACAGTGCAGTAGGAAAGGGGTTCAAATACAAGCAGAATGCAGTAGGAAAGGGGTTCAAATACAAGCAGAATTAAATATGCTTGAAAGGTTAGGTGATATTGCATGCCAAAAATAAAAAAGACCAATAAACTGGTACATTGGTACATTGGAAGAAAGCAACTGTTTTCTCCCAAACAGAAACAAATCTAGATAATTTGTTAACAAATCCAGCAAAAACACTTCAGTGTAGTTATTTAGTTCCTGTAATGGGATCCACAGAAAAGCCTAGGGAGAAAAATATTACTCCTGCATGAGACTTTATCTGTAGTTTAATTAAGCATCTTAACATCTTAAATGATGCATTAAATGACAGATTCATTATCCCCCCCAACCAAATTAAATTGCCAATTGTTAATCAAACCGGCTTATCACTAGCCCTTGCACCAACACAGGAGGGATCGCTTTGGAGCCACCCTCCCTTTATATGCTGTCTCACGCAGCATTAACATCAGAGGGAGAAACAACCCACAAACTGCAAATCCACAGGGACCCCGCAGGCAACATGAATTTCCTGCAGGTCAGGAAACTGGAAGATACAATGGCGGATTCAAGCCAACCAGAACCTACTGGTGCTTGGCCAGTGCTGTTCGGGGAATCCCAGTCAGGTGAGAGTCAGGCGTCAGCAGCTGACACTCAGACAACGAGGTTCAATTTGAGATCAGAGCAAGGTTGAAAAATATTTTTTTTCCCCATGTTTGTTTGACCACCTTAAATTTTTAAATTGAAATACTAAGCAGTTTTTACCTTGCCCAGAATAACAAAATAGATAAGCTTCAGTACCTTTGGCTTCTCCAGAACTCTCTCCTCCACTCTGCAAGTTTCCCGATGGGGTGGTGTTGGCAAGGATGTAGCCATTAGAGGAGTTGGCCGAGGTAGTCACAACCCTCACCATAGTGACTGTGGGCGCTTGCTGGACCACATGGATGGCATGGCCTGAGGGCTGCTGGGAGGTGATTAATGACGCAGGCATGTAGGCCAAAGGTTTAGCCACTACAGTGGGTGGCTTGGGTGGAACGGCCATGATCACAGGCTGGGCACTCACTGGGGATCCTGCAGTTTTCAAAAGAACAGGACACATTAAACACATGTGAGGCCTTCAGAATATCAAACAAGACGCATGCAATATCTTTCCAAAAATAAAAACTATATACAGAAGTACAGCTAGTTACATTAACTTAAAAACCATCTTAAGGATTCCAATCCTGATGCTCGTTAAAGTCTCTGAAGCTGCACTGCATCATGATGCCTCTAAAGAGCTGTCCCTTGGAGCTATGTAAGTGCCCTACCTGGCGCACTCTGCGAGTACCGATACTCAGGCACAGAAGCCAGTTTCGATCCAAAGTCGTGGTCGTGTGAGATGGGGGAGCCCTCTCGAGACAAACACTCAGGGGTCTGCAGCCCACTCGAGTGAGGAGAGAGCAGGCCGGGGTGGGTGGGAGAGGCAGGCGCGCTCCTAAAAGACAGGCCGAGGAAGATTAAACCGAGGGTTAGGGACAGCACCTTAGGATCTGCACAGACGTCAGAGAGGTACCAGCCACGTTTTGTACTTCCCAGCACGCAACAAACTGGTATGATAAGACAATGATAGATTTTAATGTGTTGTTTCCCATGAAGTACTACCAGTTATCCTTCTAATCCATACCTCTGTATAACCTGTTTTTCGTTCATTGGCTTTGTAATTAATCATGACTCTTTTTTTCCATATCCCAGAAATTAATTGTAAGACACAACTCTTAATTATTCATTTTTAACTTTAACATCAAACCGTTAAAAAAGACTTAAATGAATTGCCCTTACTAAAAAAAAAAAACTGCGACGAGCTCATGGTAACAGCGTCTAAAAAAGAGAGGAGGAAGGAAGAGAAACCAAGTGAAACAGTCACTTACTTTGCTCTGCCCAGTCACATGATCGCAAAAGGGGAAAAAGAAAAAAGGCTGAAGCTAATCAGAAAGCGTTCATGGCAGTGTGAACAAATACTATAAAAAATATATAAATTATACCTGCACCACATTCACAAAGTTACAGTTAGGAAAATGACAAAAGCTTTATTTAGTGGATGTACTCATTTCATTGAACAGAGATGATGGAGGGAAATATAGTATGCCGATATATATTTTTCATCAACAGGGAGTCTACTGTGAAAGTCACAGGGTAGCAGATAGTGTGTGGCCAACACTGGAAGCAATAGTATTGGTACCACCTGCATATCTTGTGGGATTCTGTACCATTCCTCTAAGACACCCAGGACAAGCATGTCTGTTCACTGGTCTCTGAACCCTAGGTTCCACCCTCCATCCCAGATCATGATACAAATGATCACGGGGACTCCAGTGCTACAATAACAGCATGAAAAAAATACTCCTGGAATGTTGTTTCATCAGGATCTCACAGGAAGGGCAGCAAGAGAGGATTTAGGATTTGATTGATGTACCACTGGCACTCAGGCTGCCATCAATCCCTATGTGTGAGATTCTTTTGCGACTAGATTTTGTGAATACAGGCTGAGTGACCCTATGGAAAGCGGATTCTTGTGCTGCAAGCACTACTCTGGTCAGAAGTAGCTCAATGACAGAGCACTGGATTAGTGACAGATCAGGATTTAAATATCCTGCCCAGCTAGGCTGATGGAATAAGCACCTGTTAATTGAAGCACGTTTGTACAGCCCCAGGAGGCACTTGACTGCTTGTGTGAATGTGCCTGGGTTCCCTGGAGACCAAGGGCTGTGAGCTCTGGCTAACACAGGCATAACAGCTTTTTATCAATTTAATAAATGTTAATAAAGCAATGATTAAATCTCCCTCTTGTTACTGAAATGTAGCACTTGCACGGCTTCTGTGCTATTGTTACAGTAATGACAATCTGTCAATGGTTGCAAGCAATTGACAGATTGACAATCTTCAATTGACAATTGAAGCAAAATCTATAATATGAAAAAGATATTTTGAAGATGTTTATGGGGACTTCTCTCAAGAAACCTCCATTGGGTATGACAGGGCGGTACGGTGGCTCTTTGGCTAAGGATCTGTGCCTGTGGCTGGATGGCTGCCGGTTCGTATCCCGTGGAATCCTACTCCGTTGGGTCCCTGAGCAAGGCCCTTAACCCCAACTGTTCCAGGGGTGCCGTATAAATGGCTAACCCTGCGCTCTGACCCCAGACTTCTCTCCCTGTCTGGGTGTCTCATGGAGAGCAAGTTGGGGTACGTGAAAAGACAAATTCCTAATACAAGAATTTGTATATGGCCAATAAAGTGATCTTATCTTAGTACAAGTCAAGCACCTTAAACAAAAAGAGCTTATTATCAGTTACAAATGAGAGTAGGCCATTAGGCCCATTTAGTCTTCTTGTAGCTAGTAGCTGTAGTTAGTAGCTAATAGATTCACAGATCTCATCTGCTCATTTCTTGAAAGAAGACAAAGTACTGGCTTCAAAAACACAGTTGAGTAGCTTGTACCAGACTCTCACAGCCCTTAAGTGCCAACAGAAACAAAAAGTAGCCTCGATACAATTCATGTGAAACAAATCATGTGGACTTACAGCCCACGCAAGCTACAAATCTTTAATAGACTGCATCGTTACTGTACATGCGTCGATGTGATTTTGGGAAAATCCCCAAACTAAAGAAATGGACAAAAGTAAAAAATACCCCTATTAAGACAAAAAAACATGAATCATAAATAAGAAAAACAGCAGAAGTTATGGCGAGGCAGCAGAAAAAAGTCTGTATGAACCAACAGACATAACCAACAAGTGCCACTGTGACTTTGGTTAAGATGTGACAAAAAAGGAAAATCGGAGAGAAGCTGCTTGTCTCTTACTAGCTGACAAACTGTACAAAACAGGAGGACATTTGTTACAGCAAGGTTTGAACTTGATGTGCAAAAACTCACGTTAAAAAATGTTTTCAGCTTTAGAAAGACATTGTATGAGGAATTACAATCAGACCACCTATTACTTACTTTTACTGCATTACCTTCATCAAAGTTTGCCTGTACAGTGGCTAAAAAGTATATTTTATCTGTGCATCACCTTTGAGGTACTCTGGCTGAGATGGGGAATATATTGAGGTGACAGACTTTTTGAGAGTGAAATAAATTCTCAGAGTTTTTGGACCTGGACAATGATGATTAACCAAGGGATTTTTTTTTACTGATTGAATTACAGAGCGAATTAAGCATGAATGAACTGAACTTGTCAGAGCAGGAATAGCAGAACATTTCTAATATGGCAAAATAGATCTAACATTTTGGCTAGAATCTGGACTTCCTCATCTGTCAACTGCAACTGACTATATCCACAGCTTACTGCAATCGAGTCTGACACGTTCTATGTGGCAAGGCTGAAACAGCTTGAAACCAAGTTTCACAAATATTCCAGGATTTTGACACAATTGATCTGCTCACTGCTTTCCTCAAAAATCCCTTTTCTTTTGCTGTCAGCTGCTGAGAATGTTAGAGCAGCTAATTTCAATGAATCACCAGCAAACTGAGCAATCATGTTGCCATATCAGATATTCTGAGCATCTGGTGTGACATTCTATAGCAGAGGATTATACTGAAGTCAGAGAAAGTGACTTACCTACCAAGCCACACTTTCCACAGTGAAAGTCCTTAAACCTAAGTACAGCAAAAGCCCGAGCAATACAAATCTGCAAGCTCAGCTCTCAGTAATAAGATTACCAGAATTAAATACCAAAATTGTACTAATTTTACATTTTACAGTAAAATTTAGGAAGAGCCTCACTAAGCTGCATACCACATTTGTGAAGAGGTTGATGAAAGGATTTCTGTACTGTAAAATGCAAAGTCCTTTTTTAGGACAGCAGGCAGATTACAGGTGTCACTCTGAGCCCGGAACACAAATCACTGACACATGCCATTATGTTTAGAACCATTAAAACAACACAATTACCAAAAGAAAATAAACTTATTAAATAAGCAACTTAGTTACCTCCATTCCTTTACAGAAACAAAATACAGCACAGAAGTCTGAACCTTGAACTCTGCGAACATAACAGGCAGTAAAATAAACGTGTGCCTTGCAGTGCCATCAGTGTGGCCCAGCAGGAGAAAGAGGGTGGTCAGGTGTCCATCCAGGGTGAACAAGAGGAGAGGACCTACCTGGAGGAGAGGGGTCCGAAGGGGGTGCGGAAACAGGACACTCCCCTCTGCCGCCGCTTGCGGAAAGCCTGCTCTACCAGCTTGGCCTCAGAGGAGGGGTCGATCCTCCAGAAGGAGCCCTTGCCCGGCTCCTCCTGTGACCGCGGCACTTTGATGAAGTAGCGGTTTAGGGACAGGTTATGCCGGATGGAGTTCTGCAGGAGGAAGGAACTAACTTTGAGCACAGATATAGCTGAAGGACAGGAGTGCACTGGAAACATCTGATCACAAAACATGGTTCATCAAACAGAAGGAGGGCTTTTGTAACTACTGACTTTGACACAGCCAAAGGATTATTAGCAAGTTCATCATTGCATTTCTGTGATTTAATAATGGTGGGTAAAGCAATTCCACACTCAAGGAACTCCGTGGCAAAGTGCTTTAATAAGCCTTTTAGGAAAGTTTACAATGATAAATGTACCAAAATATTTAACACTTTTACCTGACATATAAGAAACAAAGCTAGATCAATTTCATGCTGGAAAGTAGAAAGAAAAATATCTGAGCTGTTGAGCCTTCATCAAGTGTGAGAAGCCTCAACAGCTTAAACACAGTGTTCTTTCCTTCTACATTTCAGTGAGGAATTATCCACTAATGTTGGAGACCGTCACACTTCCCCATGAGTAATGTTAGAGGTTTGTTTTTTTTAAGAAGATTTTTTTTAAAAGCAAGATTAAAACCTTATTTAGTCAAGATAAGAGCTAATTTGTGGAACAGTTTTGACCTATACTACAAGTCCAAGGATCTAGTAGACCTCTATGGAGATGAGCACAATATTAGCAGTTTTTTATGTACAGAAAGTATAAGGAGGCACAGTGATTCAGAAAGAAATGTCCCAATGTATTGCCATTACTTATGAAAATATTTACTGCTTTGTAAAAAGAACAGAAGAGCACTCTGAATGGGACAGATGTTAGTCAACATTAAGAAATCTGATCACAAATTTCAAATGGCACATCATTAATTTGGATCTACATCTGTAAAGGCAGTCAATGCATGCAGATTTAGATCACTTCAAGGAATATAAAAAAAGCAAAGAACTGGACAAATGTCTAAAGCTCATGTGCCTACCTGCCAACCTTTATCAGCAGTCCTGTAATAGGGATAATGCTTGGTGATGTGAGCGTAGATGCCACTTAGTGTTAGCTGTCTGTCCTGAGCAGAAGAGATGGCTTGAACAATGAGCTGCGCATATGAATAGGGAGGCTTGGATTCATCCTGAGGGATAAACAAAACGCATACCTTCAACATTATATGCAGATACAATGCATTTAAATTAAATTCACACAGTAATATTTTCGGGACACTTTAAATCAGCAGTATTTTTAAACATTATGCATATACTGGATACAAAAATATCTTCTGCACTGGCTAGCTTTTTATTAACACTTTTGAATTATATGTTGCCTACCACATGAGAAACCATTAAAACTCCATTCTCCCCACTTCGAAGAACACTGCATAAGCAAAATGCTTCTTTTGCAAACACAGTAAGACTTAGCTACATATTAGAATTGGATGTTCATACCCCAGAGGTTATGTTACTGGTTGCTTTAAGATTCAGAATAAGATAATTAGGATGTACTGCTGCATGTTTTACTATATAGGCAATAGTATGCTTTGGCTTTATATTAAAAGTACACATTTCAAAAAAGGTGGGGAAAAGTACCTTGCACACTACTTATGTCATTCACAAACAACAAGACCTGCACATGTTTTTAAAACAACACACTTTCATTCACACAGTGCAGAGTTTAAACAAATGTGAGAGCCGAGAATGAAGACAAAATATAGACATTGTAATAGGGTGGAGGATGCTAGAGTGTCCTCTCATGTAAAAGTAATCCTTCTACAAATTCCAAATAAAATAAATCTGTTACAGAGCTCTACATAGCATGTAATTTTCTCTCTGTGAAGAATATTTTCCTTTATAACTACCTTCAAGAAAAAGTGGAGGTCCATATCTATAAGCTTAATGGAAAAACAATGTATTTTGAAAGCCTCTTTTATTAAAAAAATGAGTAACACTTAAGATAAGGGATGGCAAATGACATTTCCTAAAGCAAATATATTGGGATGGCACAGCAGGGCGAGACAAGATGGCAGCCCTTATCTGGACCACATTCCCAGAAAAGTGTGGGGAATTAGGTGCTGCCCTCCATCATTTTAAAAAACAGAAGCAGAGGTTCCAATGTTTTACACTGGCTTGGCATCTGGGGCCAGTGAAGGAAGCAACCAAAAGAGGGACTATTGAACCTGTGAATTACTTTTCAAGAGACTGGAGTTTTTGTCAAGAGTCATGGTGAGAAATGTGTTTATTTTGAGCCCCAGAGAAACAGTGAGCTCTTTTGTTTTGAATGTATATAAGCGGTTTAGCTCTATGTTAAGGAACTGGAAAAGTCAGACAGGAGCTCAAAGAGGAACTCAGGCTTTTGTTTTGGTAGTTGTTTTGCTTATTTTCCCTGCACTATAAATAAAAGGGCTGTCTGCCCTTTCTTTCTCACACCTGAAGAAGGCCCCATGGCCGAAACAATGCGTTTTCTTTCTTCTCTTTTCAGCATTGATTAAACCTATTACTTTTTTGTTTGCAGCCTACGCATGCTGATGCAGCTACCCACCTGAACATGTATATTTACAAACCTTTCTCCCTCTTTCTTATTTTGAATGAGTATCTTTTGGTAAGAAGTGAGCAAATTATTACATATTAATTGTATTATATATATAGAGGGAATGGGTAAGAATAGACTAAATTCTTAAGTATGTGAGTTAAAATGCTTTTATCTGTTCTCTAAAAATTAGATATGTAGTGAGCACTGTCACTGGCTGCAAAAAGCTATGTGGCATTGATAATAAAGCATGTTCAATACATTTTGTTATATTATCAGATAAAAAACTGAAATGAAAATGTTCATGGAGTCTTCACTTTACTGCATTATTTTAAACCCTCGGCACTGTTTTTAAGACTTTTTTGTAGTTTTCTGTGACTAGAATCATTAGCGATCATCAGTACTTTTTTGTTACTTTTATATTTACCACACAAGTTCATGTACAGTGAGGTTAAGCACCATTACCGTCCCCCAACCCAGGACATGCCTCTCTATATGTTAATAACACTTCAGTTTACATTTTTCTCAGGAATCCCATGGATCAGAGGTTGCAGTGTTGAAGCAAAATGTGAGGCATTCTCAATTGGAAGAGAAAAGCAAAGTGGATAGGGTCAATAAAGCACTTTCAGTGCACTTATGACCAACAACTTAGAAGCATGAGGTCCAAATTCAGAGGCTGATCTTGCACCAGAAAAAAAAAAAGAAAGGGCCCTAGCAAATTCCAAAAATCTCCTTTCTGCCTCCTGACAGTCTTCATTTAATTTTTGATTACATTCCCACACAATTTGGAATCGCCACATGTTTTAAGGCTTGGCTTTCTGGCCACTCTGTACAGCACAGGAAAGGAAAACGTGCTCCTCAGACAAGCCACTTCCATCAAGACCCCTCCATCTTTCAGCAGCTGCTTACAGGAGAGTGAGTGGAGGAACTATACATCTCTCTGGCATCAGAAATCCAGTAGGCGCCCCACAGGACAGGAGATTCTGTTTTACTGAAACAGACAGGACTTTGCGCCACTAACAGCCACCCTGCTGATTTACTGCTTGGAGAATCCAAGTCAAAAGGCGCTAACGACATGGCCTAGGCTCGAACCAGCAACAGAGGCCAAACAACATGGCAGGCGACCACTTTTATTGGCTGAGCCACTCAGGAGCCCGCGCCTGTTGCCTGAGAGAGCAGCGAGGTCAGGACTGTCACCTTTGGGCTGTCGCCTCCCGATGTCTCAGCCTGCTGTTCCGACACTGCTTTGGCGGCGAACTCTGCAGCCAGCTGCAGTTCTGAGGTAATGTTTCGTCCAAACCGATACCCTGAGGACCCCGCTCCACGCGGACTAGCTGGACAGGAATTGGGAACACTGTGGGGGGAGGGAAAAAAAAAAGGAAACTCAACACAAGTGCAAAACAAAATCTGAAGTATCATTCAGAATTCAAGGGCTAATCATGTTGTCATAAACGGTGATAACTGCCACCAACACAATGTAAAACATCACTTTCTGTGCGACCACAAATAATGTAAACATGCAATGATGTATTGAGACCATTTATAACACTTCATCATTATCACTGAACTGAAACTATTTGAAACAGCAGCAGATGTTATTTTGCAGCCAACACGTTTTAAGAGGTGTGGTGAGCTTATTTAAGCAAAAGCGGTCACTGTCAATTATTTAACTTCAGAAACTATAATATTAGAGAACAATGAAAAAAGAAAAAAAGTTCTCGTTACTAAATGTTGACCAGTGCTACACTATATGCATGCATGTTCATGCTGTACTATTATGAGACCACGAAAAGATAATATGCTGAATTTATTTTTAAAAAAACATGTTTTGAGAATGACAAAAACGGTGCCAATAGAGATTAGGCCTAGTCACTTAAAATAAACACTTAAATTTCTCTTAGTCTCCCTGGAATCTCATGGAGAACAGTTTTAAAAGTGTGAAGTACAAAAGCCCACCATGAGTAACATAAATGCAAAGGGATAAAAAGTTTACCAAGCTAACATCTACTTGGTGGCTGACAGTATATAACAAAAAGTCTGTTTCTTCTGATGTACATTTCTACAGCAGTAACACAAAATAAAATACAATAAGACTAAGCCACACCTGTCTAGAAATCGCAAACAGTTTAGAAACAAGGATCTTAGTGAAGTTCTGTTTACATTCCTGAGTAGTGTTTTCAGTTGCAGCAACAAAATGTGTGCCCTCTTATGTACATCATTATCTCTGCACAATACATCACACTGACGCTAGACAACACATTCCTGATGGAGGACACAGCTGTTGACACACCATAATTCTTCATGCTGCTGAAGTGTACATCAATGCCACAGGAAGAACAGCCGCAAATCTCTGTTCTCCTTTAATAACATGTTAATAAGCCTTTAACCAGATAAGCCAATTGAAACAAATTCTCATTTAGAATGATGACCTACAGTTTACCTATTTACCTACAGCTGGACAGTTTACCTGAGGTCATGTTAATGTTACTTCCTCAAGGGTAGAATAGCAGTGTCTGACCCGTGAGTTAAACCTACAACTGACTTACAAGTCCAGAGCTCCAGGCACTATTCCACAATGCTGTCTGAACACAGTTCGTGTGATTTCTTATTTTTACTACAAACTTAATAGAAGGTGGCTAGATTCAAAATACAAAACAAAAAAATAGTAAATAATCAGTAGAACGCTTGCATAATTCTAATACTAGAAATGTTTGTTTTGAAGAATTACAGCCCAAAGAAAAACAGTTTGGTGAAAAACGAAACATGATCCATTAGGAGTTTTCACTTTTACCAAAGCAGTTAGTGTTTACTACGTGGTCCAATGGCATAAAAGTGGTAACAGCTGAGTTACTGAGAAAGTAAAAAATTTTCAGCCAGTAGATGGCTCTGTTACCACACTATCTTGTCAGTGTCTGTTGACAATACTGTTCAATTTAAAAATATATTTTACTTTATGACACACAACTATGAAACACTTAAGACATTTGACTCCCATCTTTAAACTAAGTCTTCTTAACTGAGTTCCCTAAAAAAAAAAAACCAGAGTGACAAGATATTTCATTTCAATCCTCTTCACTCACACCAGTTTGCCTATTTGAGTGTGGCCTGAATTGTAAACGCCTCTTTTTTTCCCGTTCAGTTTAACTTCAATTCTTTCATCAGCATTCAGAAAGCTTTTCACTATCAAACTATGTGTACAGTGTGCTTGGACACTGAAAAATAGCAACAGCTCACACCCCTGTTCTTAATTTAGTGATCCAGATGGCCCCGGAAAAACAGCTTGTATATCTGCACTATTTCAAGTGGGGTTAATAATCAGACACCAGTTTAAAGAATCTATTAATTGCTTTCATTCACCTCAACTGTAAAGAGTGTAATGATGAAAGTACCTCTTTTTTTGTTTGAGTTGATCATTTTAAGGTTCAACTATTGGTGTAGTAATGAAATTCATAGACATGACCATGATTATCAAACAATAACACCATTCCACCCTTTCAATAAATCCTTGTGGTGTCTGAGTACGACGTGTCACCATGTGTGCTGCTAGCTTGAAGTGACTACATTATAATTTAATTCACATAAAGTATTTGGAGCAATTCTCCCCTTGTACTCCTTTTTTAAAAATGTTCAGGTGGCCTTAAAGTGCTGCCAATGGCTTTATCTGGCCAGGGGCAGCTTGCACACACACATGGTCAAAGTACAAACCTGAAGCAGCACACTCACAAAGGCTGAAAAACAAACCAAGCTCTCAGCGAGACACAAGCTTTTCTTGTCACACATCAAAACTTTCGAAAATAATGGAGGAATTTGAGATGACACACTCACCTGAACACCGATATATATTTGTCCAGAAGAAAGTGCTTTAGAATCTAGGAGTCCATGACACTGATCTGACATGCCAAGTATTATTAATATTAAATACAGTACACAGATGGCTTCATCATCTGTTGTTTTTGATTTCCAAGTAAATCTTTTTCCTTTTCTTCTTTATTTATCATCCCATTACTTGTCAAGTAAACACTCCTTTGCACAAGTAAACACACAAAGAGCACTCTTGCATATGCTAAACATCCAGATGGGCAGTGCAAAGTCACTAGATCCTTTTCAGTTTGACACTGTACATGAAGCAAATTTTGATGAAGACCGATATAGAATAAAAACAAGTGTCCACGCAAAACAAATGCATACAGCCTGTATGGTTTCATGAGTGCATTTCCAAGAGAAAAATTGGTTACATTAGCAAAAAGTGTATACTTCAAAGAAAAGTCTTTCATGCCAGAAAGCTAATGAGCACAAAGAAGCTAATGTAATGGCTGGTTATTAACAAATTAACAGATTAACAGATTTGTCCAACATAGATCAATAATTAACTACCACTGAGTACCAAGAGTTACAATCGGTGAAAATCCAAAACATCCAGCAAAACCTCCTGCTATCTGAAATATCCTTCTTCAGACCTACTACAATGAAGGGAAGATGTCACTCATCTTTAGATTATTAAAAGATATTTTTAACAAAAGATATATTTTTGTAGTTTAGAAAAAGAAATCATTCTTGTAATCAACAGACCCTTTTCTTTTTTTTAATCTTCCTAGCCTGATGAGTCAGTTGAGAACTACTGTAATTCCAGTTAACAATGATGATTTGGAGACTAATGTTCATTTATCCTCCTTTCAGAAAAATGTAATCTGTCATTTCTGACAGTTACAATTCTTGTACAAACCAGGTCAGGGTAAAAATTTCCTTTTTCAGATCCTTACGTTTGATGTTTTCCTGCTCAATGTCAATACACTCATTCTCAAAAGCAGTGATAAAAGGTCGTGTGCATGTTAACTGATTTCGCAGAGCAGAACAACTACACTGCAACACTACTTTTCAGTCAACCCCCCCAAATCTGCCACTCAGGAGTGACCAAAACTGTTCGGAGAGGTTTAATTTTGGTCATGTAAAAAGAAAGTAGAAAAAAAAAAAGATATGGTCTGATTTTAGTCTGAAACATTGAATATTCTCTGTGTGCAAATCATTTCATTGCCCTGGAGCTGGGCAGAGCATGTTGTGTTTTCCTTTTTAGCAAGGAACTAACATCTGCTTGATCATTTAATACAGAGCTACATCTTAAGTCACCAAGGCAAAAACAATGCAAAAAAATGTAATCACTGCTGTTGTGTGCCCTCTTGACTTACATCCAGATTTCTGGTATCGAGAGACTACATTTACGTCAGAAGTCCTACCCACAGCAAATAACAGTTCTGCAGTTAACAAATCATTCCCCTCCTAAAACAAAGCTTTTCTCAGTTATAACACTGAGATGGGGAGGGGGACAACAACATATACAGAAACCGCTCTAACACAAAGGGAAACCTGTCTAAATGGCGGAACCGGAGAACTCTCTAACACAGCTAGAGGGGCCCAGACCATGGGGAGCTGCTGCTGCTGCTGCTCCGGCTCTGTTTGTTTTGGGTGTGAGACTTGGCCGTTGGAGCCTGCCCGAATAAGGGGACGCAAAGGGGGAGGCAACAGGGAGCTCTCTCTCAGAAAAAGGAAACTCACTGCGGCTGAGAAATGCTTTACCACAACAATCTCCCCTCCACCAATCACAAAACAGCAAGCTCAACACACGCCATATATGGCATATGTACACACACACATACAGAGCCTGATGCAGCAGAGGAGAGGTGGTGCCACTGGGGGCAGGTTTCTCTGAAAAACAAACTGCCACATGGAGACAGAGCCTGGAGAAAAGAGGGCAGAACACACAGACGTAACCACCACAAGAAAATGAAAGAGACTGGGTCATTTAAAAAAAAAAAAAGATTTGCACTATTTGTACTGGTGCTGCTAGTGTCTTTGAAGAAACAAAATGAAAGCATCCTTCCATTTCAAAGTTTACAAATCACTTTCCCAAGTTTTGTTCAGCTTTAGCACGTGAAGCAGTTCTGGAGATACTGCGGGCAAACGTTATTGTGTCTCGAGTTGTTCAAAAGCAATGCAGGACAAACCCCGTGAAACGGTTTAGGCTGCATCTTTACCAGTCTTGCTGTTTTGTGTGTTCAAACAAAAAATCACCCAGATGTCCATTTGAGCTTGAAGTCTATTGAAAATGCAGATTTAAAGGGTATAAATCATTTTAAAGGGAATAAACCAGTGTCTTAACATGATTCACAGTCCTGCATTACTTTTTATTTTTACACAACCATTTGCTCAAAAAATCATCAGGATCCAGAACTGAGAATACCGAAATTTACAAGCACCATTTTCTCACCACACTGAAATGTAAGAAAGTACACAAGAGAACAGTCTTTTGTCCTGTTTCATTTAAGCCTTTTTCACTCTACAGGACTTGACACGACTTCTAGTCAGAGAGAACGTCAAATTTAACGACTGCAGTTGCTGAATCTCGCTGCCTTTTCTGTCCTAGAGGGTGGCAAATTATACGACTAGGAATCGCAGGGGGTGACTAATTACACAATTCCCTCATGACTTTTCATCATGGTTCCAAATCCCGTATTGCACCGCGAAAGTACCGCGAGGTTGCCTCATTTTGGCAGCCAATCAACGTGGAGCACATCGGAATAAGAGGAGGAGCACCGCACGAAAGTAAACAAACATGAAACATCGAACAGACATCTGTTCTGGCACCGAAGTTTGACAAGCCTTTCCTCCATTTCCACAGTCCAAAACACTCGCATTCCTCCTTGCCTTGCAGCAGCATTGTACTTCCGGTTGAGCGCTCATTGGCTGTTGACTGTCGCAGACACAAGAGTAGGCTTTTATCATAGCCAGTTGCAGAGAGTCATAGGGGCTGTTAAGAGCGCTATGACTGAGTCGCTGGGGTTGTCATACTACACTACTGACGGTAACGGGCACTTGCTGCAACTCTCTACAACTCACTGTGATTTTCTTGAAACCGAAAGGAAAAGTCGTGTAGTGTGACGCC